CCATTAAGATTTCGAAGGAAAAAAAAAGCTTGGGTTATTCCAGTTGTGGTATACGATATCTAAGTTCCCAAACAGGACCCGTAAGCGGGACCTTATCTCTTCCGAACGCCACATATCCATTTAGGTGCGTTTTTCCTTCCGACCTGCAACTTCCATGGCCGCAATGAGTGGCCTCGCTACGAGCTCCACTCCTTCTCGGTTACTCGCATTTCCAATACGACGCCGTTTCCGGGACCACTCGTCTTCGCGCTCCGTGGTCATCAGCAAACCTCCTTCCAGAGCTCCCAGACTCATTTGCATGGCGGTTCGTACATCCACCCCAAAAAATTATAACAATTCCGAATTCGGAGCATTGAAATTGGAAGTTTACAGCTTTCGAAATTGGGTTTTTGTTATTTTTTGAAGGAAAAACTTTTCCCCAGAAACAAACAGTTGTTATGGGATGGGATTCTCATTTTCTGATGTTGTTTTTGTGGAATTGCAGGAGCCTTATTTGATTACAAAGCTGGATTCTGCAGAGAAGACGTGGAAGGATTTATCGGTACGCTTCATACTCTGATTGAATGTTTGGGTTGATGATTTTAATTTTCCCACCCTGTGTGTGTATGTGATGTGAGGTTTTGAGGATTAGTACTCTGCTTCTGTGTAGTATAATGGTCTAGGGTTTTAGGGTTTAGGGTTTTTTATGGCAGAGAATTTGAATGATTTGGGAAAATTGGGAATATAGAATTTTGGTGATTGAAATTTTGATGGTTGTGATTACAATTGAAGACCCCATTGCAGAGATTATTTTCAGATACAACTTTGGACTTGCATATACTCTTATCCGAATTCGAAATTATTTTTAATTCTACAAGAAAACAGATTGAAATTTACCAAAGTAATCCTACAAATTTTTTATTCAATAGGCAAAAACTCCGGACTTTCTCTCGAATGATTTGAATCTAATATCTAGTTATGATTTTGGTATTTCTGGGTCATGTGATTACGAAAGATTTTCAAAGACCAGCGTAAATTGGGTTAAATTGTTTTTCATGCCTATCTAGTTGTCTACCTATCCAGAGTATAGATTCTTGTACTGTGCTGTTGCGTGGTTAGTTATTGTTGTTGTTTCTCTGGATTTGAGTATGCTCATGAAGAAGGGGAACTTTGTAGGTCAAGCTGGCTGATCCAGATGTCGTGTCAAATCCCAGTGAATACCAGAAGCTTGCGCAGTCTGTGGCAGAGCTTGATGAGGTGCTGCAGTTTATCTTTGCTACTTATCGTGCCAGGTTTTAGTTGTGTGTTCTGCACTTCTGCTTGAATTTCATTTCAGATTTAACTGACAATATTTTGCCTTTGTTTTCAATGGACAGGTTGTGACAATCTATAGGGATTTCAAAGACTGCGAGAAGCAGTTAGAAGAGACTAAAGGTTTATGTAACTATATGCCTGTGTAAAACAATCCTTTCGGAAAAATTGGAGGTATTTACTAACATTCATTTTGATATTTTACCCCTCTTTATAATCGATAATTCAGCTTTAGCAAAAGAAGCTGGCAATGATGAGGATATGGCAGAGATGATATCTTTTGAACTTGAATCTTTATCCAATCAAATCAAAGAACTTGAAGCGAAGCTCAAGGTATTATTACATGCACAATGGATCAATTTGGCATTCTTAACTACTTTAACCAAATATTGTTGTTTCTATTTTCTAATGTTTTCCTTTCCATAGTTCGAATATCAATTGGGATAATGTTTCATTTTATATTAACAGATGCTACTCCTTCCTAGTGACCCTCTTGATGCAAGAAATATAATGCTTGAAGGTAATCTCATAGTTTCCCTTGAAATAAACTGTTCTATTGATTGCTTGAGAACCACATATGATGTTTAACCACGTAAAATGCTCTCTTGAGTCTCTCTTTTTTAGGAACGTCATATGTCCAAACCAGATTTGACTGAAGCTGTACCTCATACATATGTATTCTCTTTTTCTGCAGTAAGGGCTGGTACTGGTGGTGATGAAGCTGGAATTTGGGCAGGTGATCTTGTAGGTATATGTTTCTTTTGTCGTTTAAAATCTATAGGATACGTGACCATTATTTTTTATTTGCATAAATAGAAAAGTTCGTAAAATAAAGAAAAACTCATACTATTATTCATGGGGTAGGTTAAATAGTGCATAGCGTAAACTTCAAAAGTCTTTGTTATTGATGTGCTTGTGTACTCTTTCTTCTCCTTTATGTTTTATTTTTCAATGATAGGCCTCATTGGCAAAACCAACTATTCTTGTGTTATGAAATCCTTCTTCTGAAGTTGCTTCCAAGCATATCTTAATGCTTCTGCATTTTCTTTTGCTTTTCTATTTTTTCGTACCAAGGTCCGTATGTATGAGAAGTACAGTGAGAGGAATAATTGGAGGTTCAGCACAGTCTCAAGCTCAGAGGTATGCTTCACTGACATTTTTAGCTGTATATCCTGTTTCCGTTGACATACTGACAGAGCTCTTGCATTATTTAGGCTGAAAGAGGAGGATACAAGGCCTATGTGATGGAAGTCAAGGAAAACGTGTATACAGCAAATTAAAATATGAATCTGGTGTTCATCGGGTTCAACGTGTTCCTCATACAGAAACACAGGGTCGCGTGCATACTTCCACTGCAACTGTTGCGATCATGCCAGAGGTAGCTTATATTTTACTTGTCACTGTAATCTTTTATGTACTTCATGATCAAACATTTCTGATTCATTGACTTATTGTGTTTGTTCTGTGCCTTACTATAGGCGGATGAAGTTGAGGTGGTTATCGACCCAAAAGATATTGAACTGACAACAGCAAGGTCTGGGGGAGCCGGAGGTATTTATCTGCAAAGAATATTATTTTCTTAATTAACACTATTTTGCATGTCTCACTCTTCAGAACAGGATTTCCTATGTGAGTTAAGTCTAATGCATGATTATCGTGCAGGGCAAAATGTGAACAAGGTGGAGACAGCTGTTGATCTCGTCCATAAACCAACGGGCATCCGCATCTTTTGTAGTGAAGAAAGGTCTCAACTTCAGAACAAGCATCGTGCTTTTCAGTTGCTGCGAGCAAAATTGTGAGTACTGATTTCACTGTTTTAAATTCTGATATTCTTATTTTGTTAGGCACATTAACTGTTCCCTTTTATGAAACATTTTCGATTTTCCATAATATTTTCGACCTAGCTTGACATATGCATGTAATCAACGCTATTCACACATAATACCTCTTGTTTGCACACTTTTTCTTTGGTCCATGATGATCAATGGCATTGTTACAGGTATAAGATAAAATTGAGAGAGCAGCAGGAGTTGATTAGGAATCAGCGGAAATCGCAGGTATCTTTTAGCTTAGAGAATAGTAACAAGGCACGTGAGATTGCAACATCTCTGTTTTAAACTTTTGCCATCACATATGTGCAGTTCTTTGATATTAGGCTATGCAATGGGAACGCTAGATTATGGTTTTAGGCCCAGGACTAAACCATGTGACATTTGTATTCTTAAAATGCAGGTTGGTACTGGTTCTCGTGCAGAAAAGATTCGGACATACAACTTTAAGGTATTGGTAATGAGTGATTTATTGAACTATTCAATTCAAAAGCGATACCTATTAGGTGTAGAGGTCCTGATACGTATATAAAGCTACAAGAATTTATGCGAACCAGTAACCAACGTGAGACTTGTGTTCAACATTTTTGTCTCTGAGATTTCTTCCATTCGATTGGTTATGTTTCAGGAAGTTCACTTCTCTTGTTTATTGAATTAGGACAATAGAGTGACTGACCATCGGTTAAAGACAAACTATGAGCTCACCTCTTTTCTTGGTGGCGATATAGATAACGCAATTCAGGTATTTTTCCACAGACATGTCCTCCCTTTCTCTTAATAAATATTTGTCAAAAGAATACGCCAATACGAATGCCTTGCAATTGATATTCCTACTCTTCTTGCAGGCTTGTGCTTCCTTAGAACAGCAAGAACTCCTGGAAGAACTCGCTGAATCTGTAGGAGCTCCGGCTGGCTAATTTCTGCCTTGTTTTATGGCAATTTTGTTCGAAGATTTACGGAGCCGGATCAGGTGGTAAGGAAACCTTTGCTGGAACAAATTGTTCAAAACGGGGCAATCTTTTCGTATGTTATATGTAGAGACGCAATCACAGGCACATGAGTTTTTTGTTAAATTTGTTCTCGACAGGTTAAATAGCCGAGTTATGTAATTTTTGTATACATGTAAAGTTGAGAGAATCGTGCAGCAAAAGATGCCATAAACACCTCCATATTTTAACTTTTCACATTTAACAACAAAAATGCCAGCAAAGGCGAAAGTAAATGTGAAGGTTGTATGGAATTCAAGGTGGGGAAGAGATCCTCTCCGGATCTCTCCCACCAAATCCTAGGGATCAGGAGATCCGGACCCTTGAAATTTGATCAAATGGTTACAAACAAGGGGCCTCAGCTCCTCTAAAAGTTATAATAATTGTAGCCGTTGATTCAAATTTTGAGAGTCCGGATCTCCAAATTCCTAGGATTTGGTGGAAGAGATCCGGAGAGGATCTGCATGTACGCTACCTTATTGAACTTGAGTGCAAATATGTGGACGCATTGTCCTATCGAACACAGGTGCCTGTTAGGCTAACTGCTTTATCGTACTCAAGTACAAATAAATAGGCGAACAAATTGCTTTATCGAACTCGAGTACAAATAAATAGGCGAACAAACTGCTTTATCGAACTTGAAGTACAAATAAATAGGCGATGAAACAGTCTTATCGAACTCAAGGACAAATAAAATGTAAGTAAATTCTGAAAAAATTGCGTGTTTCTTGTAAGATGTGCCTTTTTAATATGCACTTCAAAACCTACTAAAAACATTTTCGGTTATTTTAAAACATTTTCGATAATTTTAAAAGCACCTACAATTAAAATACCACAAACGAAGGGCAGTAGATAGCCCTGCTGCTGAAAGCTCAAAACTGGGCCACCTGTTTATACACCGTCAACCTCCAGCCGTCAAACAAGCCCAAGCTCCACATGGCTCCTCCTGCCTCTTCACCCCCTCTCCACACATGGCACCAACTTCTGCACTCTTCTCTTCTTCTCTCTCTCACTCCTCTCTCCTTCTCCACAATTCTATGCTCAAACGCCTCTCTCTCCGCCGCTTCCTCTCTCATCCAACCAAACAGCTCTCCTCTCCTCCATCACCACCGCCCCAATCTCCCGCCACTCACTTTCCCGCCCTTTCCTCACTGATTCCCCGCCGACCCTTCTCCACCTCCAAGCTCCTCGCCATGGCCGATCACACTTCGAGCAACCTGGCTGCCCCGTCTCACAAGCACTCCAATCGCCTCGCCGCCGAGCACAGCCCCTACCTTCTGCAACACGCCCACAACCCGGTAAGTCTGAATTTCCGAACTGGGTTTTCTGTTCTTTGTTATTTGGATTGCTCTGCGAACTAAAAGATTGAAACTTGACTGCGTTTTACCAGGTGGATTGGTATCCGTGGGGAGAAGAAGCTTTCGCCGAAGCTCGAAAGAGGGACGTTCCCATCTTCCTATCAAGTAATTTTCTTCTACCCATGTTTTGTTTTCTCTTTGCAAGTATCGGAATTTGGCAGTCAGCTGATATGTGATTCATTTGATCGTTGCAACTACGTTGGTTTTGTATGCAAGTCGGATACAGCACGTGTCATTGGTGAGATTTCTTGTTCGATTTTTCGGAAGGTTTAATTTTAATATTCTTGTGAATGAGGACTAATTAGTTTGTGTTGGACTGTGAATAAGGTGTCATGTTATGGAGGTCGAGTCTTTCGAGGATGAAGGCGTTGCGAAATTGCTGAACGATTGGTTTGTTAGTATCAAGGTGAGTCAAATTTGTTTGCTCATTTCCAGGTTGAGTAATTACATAAATTTTATGAGAGAACTTTCTTGTTTTCTGCTTTTTTGAAGTATTTTCGCTGTGTTCCATTTTTTCTAACATTTCATTACCGCAGGTGGATCGGGAGGAAAGACCAGATGTTGATAAGGTGAGCCTTACATTGTAACACACCTGTGAAGTTACTGAAGCTTTATAATATGTGTCTGGAATGCTTTTTTACTTTCGCACGTCAGTGCGTCTCAAGTTATTCTATTTTCAACTACATTAGAGGTTGCTACTGGCTTGAGGTTGAGTATCTTAATGTGCTTCTGAATTCTATATATATTTACAGGGGAAGGGTACGTTTTCTTAGGGCGGATAACATTCAGGCTAGACTTTGTTATAGTTCGAGATCTTTCCTAGCCCAAATCTAAAGAAAAAAGGAAATATATTTGAATTCTGAATCCAGTGCTCACATTTTCAGCCCAAATGGTTCTATTTTGCAAGGATGTACTTTAAGAAAATAATAATAACAATTTTCCACTGGTTATTTTGGCATCATGATGTGCTGATGATTTTTTTTTTTTCACTTTTACAGGTATACATGACCTATGTACAGGCTATGTATGGTGGTGGAGGTTGGCCACTGAGTGTCTTCCTTTCACCTGATTTGAAACCTTTGATGGGTGGAACTTACTTTCCCCCAGACGATAAGTTTGGAAGACCAGGATTTAAGACTATACTTAGGTGAGGAGACGGTGATCTCTGAGACATTAACTTATCACCATCCCCCTTCGGCCTTTTCACCCCGTCTATTCCAATGATTCTCTTGGTTGGAGAAAACACTTGAAGTTACAAGTGCTTGTTGAGCTGGACACTGCACATTACCTGAACGCTTATTGGTATTTTTTATTTTGGCTTCCCTTGCTCATTTATTGTGTATGCCTTTTTTGTTTCAGAAAGGTGAAAGATGCTTGGGATAGCAAGAGGGATGTGCTTGTTAAAAGTGGAGCATTTGCGATTGAACAGCTGTCAGAAGCATTGTCGTCAAGTGCGAGTTCTAATAAATTGCCAGATGGGCTTCCACAAATTGCATTGCGTCTATGTGCTGAGCAAGTAGGTGTCTTTACAGTTTACATTAAGAACTTTTTTGTGTTTATGAGTTTTGGATTTAAAAGTATACCATCTGCTGAAAACTTGGCCTCCCTTCCCTTTTTTATTTTGTGCAAGGGTATTTCAGAAAAGAAGAACAAGTTCATTACATATCTGTGCACAAATAGATATGACCGATTTTGATTAAACTTATCAGAAGGCAGCACAATATTTCCTTCTTTTTCCTCATCCTCCTGTTTAATCTGTTTATAGCTTTCCGGAAGCTATGATGAAAAGTATGGTGGGTTTGGATCCGCCCCAAAGTTTCCTAGACCAGTTGAGGTTCAGCTCATGCTTTATTACTCAAAGAAGTTGGAGGAAACTGGGAAGTTGGGTGAGGCAAATAAAAATCTGAAAATGGTTTTCTTCACCTTGCAATGCATGGCAAAAGGGGGCGTCCACGATCACATTGGAGGTGGCTTCCACAGATATAGCGTGGATGAGTGCTGGCATGGTCAGTTTTTCTTAATAAATCATTTCCATTGATATTCATGTATCTTAACTGTTATGGCATGCTCAGATACTGAACTATTTGTTCAATCAAATGCCTGTCTCATACCGTTCTTTATAGTCACCATGCTTTGCCCCCAACTCCTCTGTTCTTTCTATATATTGATTATTTCTGCAACAGATTGTTGAACCAGTTCTGTTTATTGTAGTCCCGCACTTTGAGAAGATGTTATATGATCAAGGGCAGATTGCCAATGTCTATTTAGATGCTTTTTCTATTACCAAAGATGTCTTTTATTCATGTGTTGCACGGGATGTTCTTGATTATCTGAGGAGAGAAATGATTGGACCGGAAGGCGAAATCTATTCAGCAGAAGATGCTGACAGTGCTGAATCTGAAGGTGCTTCAAGAAAAAAGGAAGGAGCCTTCTATGTTTGGACTAAAAAAGAGGTCTCTCACTCATTGTCTCAGCCTTAAGTTTACTCTTTAGATTTGTTGATTCTAACTTATGATTTCATATAAGATATCCGACACCATTTTTGTATTCATTGATTGCAATATTCTTTTTCCCTCCAAAAGTTAACGTTTTGTTTCTATTTAGGTTGAAGATATACTTGGAGAGGATGCTACTCTTTTTAAGAACCATTATTATATAAAACCTTCGGGAAACTGTGACCTTTCTAGAATGAGTGATCCTCACAATGAATTCAAGGGAACGAATGTGCTGATTGAGAGAAAAAGCCCTTCTGAATTGGCACCAAAATTTGCCATGCCTGTTGAGAAATACCTTGATATTCTGGGCCAGAGCAGGAAAAAGCTTTTTGAAGCACGATCTACTCGACCAAGACCACATTTAGATGATAAGGTGTTCGCTCTTAACCCAATGCATAAAATTGCGGTAGAACCCACCTAATAAGTTTTGGCGTATATTTTTTAGCACAAATTGATAGATCAGGTGCCTTGTAGGTAATTGTGTCATGGAATGGACTGGCTATCTCAGCTTTTGCAAGGGCTTCTAAAATTCTCAAGAATGAACCCGATGGGATCAAATTTAACTTTCCCGTGGTCGGCTCTGATGTAAGTTTATACCATCTTTGAGTTCATCTGTGGGTACCAGTAGCTTAGAATTTGTGAAATTTTTTATTTATTTATTTTTCCGTAGCTTATATTTTACTGATAATTTATCCATCTATTTATTTGTACAATTTATCAATTTTGTTCTCCTTACTCACATTTTACTGACTATTATGTTTTATTACATTCCCAAAATATCAGCCAAAGGAGTACATGCAGGTTGCAGAGAGGGCTGCAACTTTTATCAGGAGAAAGCTTTACGACGAGCAAACTCATCGACTACAGCACAGCTTTAGGAATGGTCCATCTAAAGCACCTGGATTTTTAGATGATTATGCTTTTCTCATATCGGGGTTGTTGGATCTTTATGAATTTGGTGGTCAAACTACCTGGCTAATTTGGGCAACTGAACTGCAGGACACCCAGGCAAGAAATGATATATGGAATTTTGACGTTTAGTAGCTATTCTCTTCTGTGTATTGATGCTAGTTTACTGGCGATTTTCCAGGATGAATTATTTCTTGATAGAGAGGGAGGCGGCTATTTTAATACACCAGGGGAAGACCCCAATATTCTACTTCGTGTGAAGGAAGATCACGATGGGGCTGAGCCATCTGGAAACTCGGTTTCTGCGATCAATCTTGTAAGATTGGCATCCATGATAGCTGGAAACAAGTCTGATCATTACAGGAGGGATGCCGATCATGTTCTTGTACGAGTTGCTTAACCCAAAATGTGCTTTTACATCTTATCTGGGGAGTGTGTCTCAACTACTGCTAATTTTCTTGTTCTCTTTTTCAACAGGCTGTTTTCGAGACAAGATTAAAAGACATGGCGATGGCAGTACCTTTGATGTGTTGTGCAGCAGACATGCTCACTGTTCCTTCCCGAAAGCAAGTTGTCTTGGTTGGCCAGAAGCATTCTGTAGAGTTTGAAAACATGCTTGCCGCCACGCATGCATCATACGACACAAACAAAACAGTGAGTTTGGGGTTTTTATTTCGAGTTCACAGCTTCGTCATTTCCTTCCGCTTTGTACCCAAGTCTTATGTGATATCCGAAATGGCAGGTTATTCACGTCGATCCAGCAAATTCAGAAGAAATGCAATTTTGGGAAAGCAACAATAGCAACATTGCTCTGATGGCAAAGGATCATTTTGCTGCGGACAAAGTGGTCGCTCTTGTCTGCCAAAACTTCACTTGCAGTGCTCCTGTGACGGACCCCGGATCCCTCGAGGCGTTGCTCTCCAGAAGATCATCCCCCTCCCCTTCTGCGTGACTGTAAACGGAGTACAATTTCAACGGAGGAAACTATGTATTAAGTACAACATTCGTCCCGTTTGCGACGGTGCAGGGTAGAGCATGCAGCAGAGACATGGAGTCGTACGTGCTGGAGACGAATAGGTATTTATGGTCTGGAAAATATGTTGTGCAACAAGCAAAGTACATAGAATATTATGTCGGGTGTGTTCGATATGACGATAGTGTGTTACGAATAAAAGTTTTGGGGAAATAGTTGTGCTGATTTGTGTTCTACAATATATACATTGCTTCTTGTTTTTTTCATGAAACAAAAATCTCTTCCTCAATCAAAAGACGGTGAAAATACTAAATTAATTCCGTGAACGAAATTAAAGGAAAATAACCAAATTAAAATTTATGGGCACTATAGAATAGATATTCATGGATAGACGAATATTCTTTCGATTCTTAGTTTGGGGGCTGAAAAAGCTCGTCAATCCAAATGAATCATTCTTCTGGTTTCTATTTGCCTCCCGCCTCGAAACTGACGCACAGCACAGCGCCCATTCGCTTCGCGCGCGGGAAGGCAGCGAAGTTCAGTTGATGGTATGGCGGTGGAGTGGAGCAGCCGCGGCACGAAGTTCCTTACCTTAATTGGATCTTGCTGGTGCCACCTAAACGGTGGGTAGGATTAAACAATAATTTTACAGATTTTTTTATCCATGCGACTCGGGTTCAGATTCTCTTATTTTAAATTATTGTAATAGTTTCAAATCATATTCTTAGTAATAATAAATTTAAAATTAAAAAAAAAACTTTTATTGGAGAAAATAACAACAAAAAACATCAACATCTCTCCATCCATTTCAAATCCAAAACAATGACACCCTTCAACTCTCTCACCAAAATCGCCGCCGTCCAAAGATTTGCAGTACAAAATCTATCCTTCCGCCGATGAAGCGCCACCACAATCTCCTCCACGATCCTACCCTTCCGAAAATAAGCTTGAAAAATCAGATTACCCATCTTACAAGTTTCTTAAAACCCTTTTGATTTCTGATCAGAGAGTTATTAGTATTCTGAAGCACAAGCAGTGGATCTTCCTCGAAAATCTGTCTAAAAATGTGGTGCCAAATATCGATATTTTGAGATATATTGGGATGCCGGAGTCCTCCATTGCTCTGTTGCTTGCGCATTACCCCAACATTTTGATAAAAAAAAGCAAGAATCGTTCAGTGGGATTGTTGCTGAGGTGAAAGATTTCGGATTCGAGCCCGCGATTTGTGCCGGAGGCGCGGATGAGGTCCGGTAAAAAGTCGATCTTGGAACCCAAGAGGCCTACAGGAAATGTGGTTGGTCGGAGGATGAGATCCTCTCTGCTTTCAAGTCCAATCCCTTGTGCATGACGAAATCGGAGAAGAAGATAACGGAGACGATTGAGTTTTTGGTGAACAAGATGGGGTGGTCCTCGGCCGCCATTACGAAATGCGCGACGGTTATGTGACTGAGTTTGGAGCGTTCGGTTTTCAAAGTGCTGGCCGGGAAGGGGTTGGTAAAAGAGAATTTGAGCTTGGTGGGTGTGATTTTTCCGGCGGAGAAGCGGTTCTTGGAGAGGTTTGTGGGTAGATATGTTGAGCAAGTGCCTCAGTTGTTGCGTGTGTACCAAGGAAAAGTGGACTTCCAAGATTTATTGATTTGTTGATTTTTATTGAAATTTGTATCATGATTCAATGATGTATGAAGAAAACAAAATTAATTTTGGTGGTTTTCTTCAATTTCAACTTTATCTTTTTGGTTTTAAATTTTGTCAATTTGATCATTGTGTTTTGTGTTGTAAGGATAATTTGGAAATCGCTTAAATTAGTTAATTGAAATTCACTAAAGCAATTTGTTTATATGATAGATTAATTATCGCCACTTGAATCATGTTATAGATAGTGAGTTTGATACTTAATTTTGGATTTGTTTGAAAGAGCTTTAAAAATGACTGAGCCGAACAGAAAAGGCCTATTGAACCCAAACTCAACCATCTCTAGCCACCAAGCACGAGCCATAGGTTGTGCGACTCAACTACTGTTCCAAGTTCCACCTTAATGTCTATGCTTAGTCGATGTGGGACTTATTTTTTAGAACAAGAAGGATATAAGTACTTCTTCTATTATTGGTGTTGGTGAATCACACAATGATTGTCAGGAGGAGATTGAAATGCCTCTATGAGTTCTTCCGACCCTCAGAATAAGGGACTATCATAGTAAACTCACCAACTAGTCTCCTTTTCAAAAAAGAAAAAGCACTCCTAAAACTTGGGTTCATAAACATAATAGTGCAAACTGTTTGAAGGCTATACACGCTTGCTCTGAAGCGATCCAACTCTCCCGAGCGGAGATACAAGCCAACTGCCGTTCCGAATTCCAACTTATTACCACCGCATTGGGTCACAAGCTCACGTTACTAAGCTCAGCGAACCAACTTCTAACAATTTTATATATCAAGTATGCAACTTATATAAGTTTCGTCGACGTGGGACACATGGTCATAATTACGAACTCATACATGCTTGTAAATGAGTATAAAAAAATTGTAAAATATTCAGTTTAAATAGTAAGCCACAATTTTAATGTGTTCTAAACGGAAACTAGTCGTACTTATGGTTGCACCTCTTTTCTTAGGCCGCCTTGACAACTTCCACATCCCACCTTTATTGCCTCTTCATTGGATTGTAAGCTTGCGTTACTAAGCTCGGCAATCTAACCCCCATAAATCTGGCTATATAAAACATGAAGCTTGTACATGCTTTTCCGATGTGGTTACACACACATTCTACTCTAGCCATATATATGCATCTACGCTAACTATAAATGCATCTATTCTCATTCCCGCTTCAGCATCAGCAGACGGAGTTAAAGTAGTAATCAAATTTTAAACGGACCATCAGTTCAAATGGTTAAGAGCGTTTATTCATGTACCGAGATTATGTATTTGAAACTCCCTTCACAGTATCACTTATATAAAAGAAAAAGTGTAACATATCAAATATCTAGCATCTTGCTTCTTCCAAATTCAGTTACGTCACACTCTTTTGCAAAGCAAACTGACACTTGCCTTGACCAACTCGCCAATTCCGTAAGGGAAGTGATTTTTACACTCTTTTTAACTTCTTACACACTACTTTTTATTTATGATAATTTTGAATAAATCAAATAAAATCAATGGTCAAAATAAAACATAGATATGTTAGAGTTTAAAAAAATGTGTGTTTGTTATAAAAGGGTTAAAGTTTGAGAGATAACCTTTTAAGTGGTAGGTGCAAGGTAGATGTAAAATGCCACAAAAAACTATAGCACAGACAGATAATAAAAGGCAGAGGAATATATGATGTTATTGATATTTCTCTCTTGTTTTTCTTCTTCATCTATATTCTGTTACATGCGGAGTGCTCTATTTATAGAGCAACTCGAACTGATGCAGTTAATGCATCTTGAAATTTAAAACGTCCATCTGACACTTTCATTCAGCATGGGCATTGAAAACTTTGCCCATGCAGATGACTTTAGTTTTGTGGGCATTCATTGCCAAAGACATTGAGACTGTGTCTGAGACTTTTCAACATAACAGATATTGAGACTGTGTCTGAGACTTTTCAACACTCCCCCTTGGATGCCCACATATCAACATGAGTTGCCTCGTTAAAACCTTGCTTGGAAAAACCCAGTGGGAAAAAAAAACCATAGCGAAGGAAAAAGAGTACAACTTTTCCTGGATCGTTGATATAGTGTCAAGTATGCTTATGTTGCTTCGTTAAAACCTTGATAGGAAAAACCCAGTGGGAAAAATCCTAATCGAAAAAAAAAGAGTACAACAAGCATGTATCATGGATACTCCCCCTGATATGTTTCTCCTCCTGATTCCACATTCTCCAAATTTAGCTGTTTGGTAAGTCGACGTAATCCGATGTCTTGCACTAACTTCTGAAATGTGCACTTTGGTAGAGATTTGGTGAACAAGTCTGCCAGATTTTCATTTGAACGGATTTGTCTGACTTCAATAACTTTAGCCTTCTGAAGCTCATGAGCACTGAAAAACTTTGGAGATATGTGTTTAGTCTTATCGCCCTTGATGAATCCTTCCTTCATTTGGGCAACACAGGCTGCATTATCTTCATGGATGACAGTTGGATTGTCTGTCTTCGAAGTTAGACCACATGAATTCCGGATATGATGGATCATTGATCTTAACCAAGAACATTCACCACTTGCTTCATGTAAAGCAAGTATTTCTGAATGATTTGAAGATGTAGCAACTAATGTTTGCTTGGTTGAGCGCCATGAGATTGCTGTATCTCCATTCTTAAACACATATCCAGTTTGTGAGCGGGCTTTATGCGGATCATAGAGGAAGCCAGCATCTGCATATCCAACAAGGACCTGGTCATCTGTGGAGTTCTTTGAGTAGAAGAGACCCATGTCTGTTGTCCCACGAAGGTATCGCAATACATCTTTGATACCCTTCCAATGGCGAATTGTTGGAGCAGAGCTATACCTTGCTAACAAATTAACTGAAAAAGCTATTTCTGGTCTAGTACATTGTGCTAAATACAACAAAGCACCTACTGCACTTAGATATGGTACTTCTGGACCAAGGACCAGCTCATCATCTTCTTTTGGACGAAATGGATCTTTCTTAATGTCCAAAGAACGAACGACCATTGGCGTGCTTAGTGGATAAGCCTTGTCCATACCAAATCGCTTCAGAATTTTTTCAATGTAAGCTGATTGGTGGACCAAAATTCCATTAGCACAATGCTCGATCTGCAGGCCGAGACAATATTTTGTTTTTCCAAGGTCTTTCATTTCAAATTCGCTTTTCAGATATTCAGCAGTTTTATTGAGCTATTCAGGAGTCCCAACTAGATTCATATCATCAACATATACAGCCACTATAGCGAATCCAGAATTGGATTTCTTAATGAACACACAAGGACAAATAACATTGTTGATATACCCTTCTTTGATCAAATACTCACTGAGACGATTATACCACATTCGTCCAGATTGTTTCAGACCATACAATGATCGCCTTAATTTGATCGAGAGCATACCTCGTGGTTTATTACTTGTTTCAGGCAACTTAAGTCCTTCTGGGACTTTCATATAGATGTCAGTATCTAATTCTCCATATAGATACGCAGTGATGACATCCATAAGTCGCATGTCAAGTCTTTCTGAAATCACTAAACTTATTAAGTAACGGAACGTAATTGCGTCCATTACAGGAGAGTATGTCTCCTCATAATCAATTCCAGGTCTTTGAGAAAAACCTTGTGCAACGAGTCGTGCTTTGTATCTTGCGATCTCGTTTTTCTCATTGCGTTTCCTTGTGAATACCCATTTGTAACCCACGGGGTTTACGCTAGGCGGGGTTTGGACTACTGGTCCAAAAACATTCCGCTTTTCCAAGGAATTTAATTCTGCCTGGATTGCATCTTTCCACTTAGGCCAATCCTGTCTCTGTTTGCATTCATCAACAGAGCAGGGCTCAATATCATCACTTAAGATGATTTCAGTGGCTACTGCAAATGCAAACATATCATCAATGATTATTTCATTCCGATCCCACAATTCATTTGTACATTCATAATTTATGGAGATTTCTTTGCTTTCATGTATTTCTGTCTCTTCAGGGACAGATGTCTCATCAAGGACATTTTCTTTTTCTGGAAGTCCAGAATTATGAATTGTGGATGTATCATTCATTTTCTCTTCCTGAATGACTTCATTTGGATTCAGTTGTGCCCTCGACTTTCTCTTTCGAGGAGCTGAATCTTTTGAACCTGGGGGTCTACCACGCTTCAGGCGTGCACCAGATGAATCATTTGCTGCCACTTTATTTTGTCCAACAGGGACATCAATTATTGCAGGTGCATTTGCAGCTGGTATATTTGATTTTGTCACTTTCATAGCATCATTAAATGCATCTGGCATTTGATTGGCAATGCTTTGAAGATGAACGATCCTTCTCACTTCATTTTCACATTGAATGTTGCGAGGATCAAAATGAGACAAGGTGGGAACAACCCATGTCAGCTCTTTCCGTTCTTCTGGAACGGTCTTTTCTCCCCCTAACAACGGGAAAATTGTCTCATTAAAGTGACAATCAGCAAAACGAGCTGTAAACATATCACCTGTCAAGGGTTCCAAATATCTAATGATAGATGGTGAATCAAAACCCACGTAAATTCCCAGTCTACGCTGAGGTCCCATTTTAGTGCGTTGCGGCGGTGCAATAGGCACATAAACAGCATAACCAAAAACTCGTAAATGGGAAATGTTTGGCTGATGTCCAAACACGAGTTGTACTGAAGAGTATTGATGGTTGGCTATAGGTCTCAATCGAACCAATGATGCAGCATGTAAGATGGCATGTCCCCATGCAGAGACTGGCAATTTGGTTTTCATGAGCAGAGTGCGAGCTATTAACTGAAGCCGCTTGATCAATGTTTCTGCTAAACCATTTTGAGTATGGACATGAGGAACAGGGTGTTCAACATCAATGCCCAATGTCATGCAATAATCATCAAAGGTTTGAGACGTAAATTCACCAGCATTATCAAGTTAGATTGACTTAATGGGATAATCTGGGAACTGTGCTCGTAACTTAATTATTTGAGCAAGAAGTCTCGCAAAGGCTACATTCCGAGTAGACAAGAGACAAACATGTGACCATCGGGTAGATGCATCAACCAAAACCATAAAATATCGAAATGGTCCACATGATGGTTGAATAGGCCCACAAATATCCCCTTGAATTCTTTGCAGAAATGATGGGGATTCAGCATCAACCTTTAATTGTGATGGTCTAATTACCAACTTCCCTTGAGAACAAGCTTTGCAAGGGTTATCATTTGAGGCAGCAATGTGTCTGCTCACTAATGGATGTCCATTAGAGTTGGTAATGATCCTACGCATCATGGTAGATCCTGGATGACCCAGACGGTCATGCCAAAACATGTAAACCTTTGAATCAATGAACTTCTGGTTCATGACAGTATGTGATTCAATTGTCCTTATGTATGTATAATATAATCCACTCGACATACCACGCAACTTCTCCAATATACGCTTCTGGGTATCATTGGAGGTAATGCATAGATACTCCACATTTTTCTGCACTTTTTGTTTCAATGTGGTATCCATTTAGACGTATGTCTTTGAAACTCAACAAATTTCGAGTAGATCGAGTAGCATACAATGCATTACGTATGGACAATATTGTTCCATTTGGTAACATAATCTGGGCTTGCCCTGAACCTTGAATTACATCTGAAGGTCCTGATATTGTTGTTACCCCTACTCTTGTAGGTATTAAGCTTGAGAAATACTTTCGATCACGAAGTATTGTATGTGTGGTTGCACTGTCTGCAAGACAAATATCTCCGCCATTTCTCATGTTCTGAGAATAACCACAGTTTTTATCCATGCTCTCTGAGTAAGAGAATCAGAATTAAAAGCAAGTTATAACAAGAAAATTTACATGCCACTTTTTTTATTTAATCTAAAATACTACAAGTTCAGCATAATAAAAGTACATTAATGATTCAATCGGACCGATATACTTCATTTCCCCTTTCTACAATATAGTCTGAAACATCTAGATGAGTTGTGTTCAACTGCCCTGATAAGTCAAACACTGGATCAGGTATATCCATTGGTCTAGCCTTGTCGAGAAAGTTAGTCTCGACACCCTTCTCCTTGAGGGAGGCTTGATACAGATCCACTAGATGTTTTGGGGTACGACAAGTACTCGCCCAATGCCCATTGCCACCACACCTATGGCAGGCTCCTTCAGAGTTTCTAGGAGCATTGTTCATATGAGCTTTGCCTTTGTGGCGATTCACATTTTTGAAGCTCGGGCCTGAATTATTCCTGGGAACCTGGTTATGAAACTGAACTCCATGATTCTTGCCCTTCCTATTCCATCGACCTCGCTTGTGACCACGTCCTCGTTTATGATTATCACCACCAGAGGATGTGGCATTCACTCCGAGGGAAGCAGCATTCACTTCTGGGAATGGTGCAGATCCAGTAGGTCAGGAATGATGGTTTTTCATCAGGAGCTCATCATTCTGTTCAGCTACTAAGAGCACAGATATCAGCTGGTTGTACTCAGTGTAGCCTCGCTCTCTATACTGCTGCTGCAGGAGCACGTTGGAGGCATGAAATGTGCTGAGAGTCTTTTCCAGCATATGCTCCTCAGTAATAATATCCCCACAGAGCTTCATCTGAGAGGTAATTCTGAACAATGCAGAATTGTATTCTGCCACTGACTTGAAGTCTTGAATCCTCAGATGAGTCCACTCATAGCGGGCCCTTGGAAGAATCACCGTTGTCTGGTGATTGTATCTGCTTCTCAAGGCATTCTAGAGAGCTAACGGATCTTCAACCGTTAAGTACTCGCTCTTTAGCGCCTCATCAAGATGGCGGCGAATGAAAATCATGGCCTTTGCCCGATCTTGAGAGGATGAGTTGCTCTCTTCCCTGATGGTATCTCCAAGATTCCCTGCTTCCAGATGGATCTTGGTATCCAGTACCCAAGTCAGGTAATTCTTCCCGGTAATATCCAGGGCAGCAAATTCAAGCTTCGTCAAGTTCGCCATTTTCTTTTCTGAAAGAAAATGAGATGTGTAAGAACTTGCAATAATATGTATTCCTGGAGGAATATGATGTTAGAACTTCTGGTTCTTACAAATTTTTCATTTTGATCTTCAGGCCAAAATGATAAGCACTCGAAACTTCTGGCTCGAGATTTTCAGAGTGAATGAGGAGGGCGATTGTACCGCACCATTCTCATTGAAATAATGTAATATAGAATGGGCGATTATTCCGCATCACTCAAGTAACAGGAAATTTAAATATGCAGAGCAGCGTGGGCGATTATACAGCACCACATAAAAATTGCAATGAAATTAAACAGCAGGTAAATTCAAATATGCAGGGTAGGGTGTGCGATTATACCGCTCCACCTAAAAATTGCAGTAAAATTAAATCTGCAGTCCAAGATAGGCGATGATACCGCACCGTCTTGGATCGCAGTAAGATTAAATTTGCAGTTCAAGATGGGCGATTGTATCGCACCATCTTGGATTGCAGTAGAATTAACACAAATAAATACTAGGTTAGTAATCAATCTCTACACCAAACAAGTAATCAAAGATGTATGTAATCGTTAGTTGGAGAACTATGAGCAAGCATGGAGCAAACAACTCGTTGCGAGGGTACACGGCGCAGTTGAGGCAGAGGAAGAAGATGAACAGTAAAAACCTTAAAGGAAACATTTTTTTTCTTTCGTTCGTTCGGCGAAGAGAGATGAGAGAATAAATATATTTAGAGACTCGTGCTGATAACGTGTTATAAAAGGGTTAAAGTTTGAGAGATAACCTTTTAAGTGGTAGGTGCAAGGTAGATGTAAAATGCCACAAAAAACTATAGCATAGACAGATAATAAAAGGCAGAGGAATATATGATGTTATTGATATTTCTCTCTTGTTTTTCTTCTTCATCTATATTCTGTTACATGCGGAGTGCTCTATTTATAGAGCAACTCGAACTGATGCAGTTAATGCATCTTGAAATTTAAAACGTCCATCTGACACTTTCATTCAGCATGGGCATTGAAAACTTTGCCCATGCAGATGACTTTAGTTTTGTGGGCATTCATTGCCAAAGACATTGAGACTGTGTCTGAGACTTTTCAACATAACAGATATTGAGACTGTGTCTGAGACTTTTCAACAGTGTTTATTATTTCCTAATCCGTAAACCGAAATCGCGTTTTGAAAATTTGGTACAAGCCCAATTAGCAACAAAGCCCATTCAAATTCCAATTCAAAAAAAAAAAGAAACAGCTGACGTTAAAACGGTTATACTACTGCGTCACCGAACGCAGACGCAGAGCAGAAGCGGCTGAAGAGCTTCATCGATTTCGCGCTATTTCTGTATATAATTATATACAGTCTGCACCTGGAATGTATCTATATGTGTATCTATAGGCTCCATTCCAATGGTGGAGAGGAGGAGGAGGAACCCACTGGTGCTAACTTCCACCAAAAATCTCATCAATTCCGTACTGAGTGAAGGCCACCGCGTCGACGGCAGCGGCTATGGTGACGCGGCGACGAGCTTTCAGTTGCCGCGGGGGATTCTCCGGCTGTCCAAGGACAGCCCGAAATTGGCCTCTCTCGACGACTCTGCTTTGGTCGGGCTTTCCACTCCTGCCCTCAAACGGCTCTCCATCACCGCCTGCTCGCTGGTAATTATTTCAATGTTGATTTATATAAATTTTGCTGCTTTCTGTTTGGCTGGCGAGAAAATTGATGAAAGGACAAGAATTTACACTTGAATCCGAGCTCAAATTGCACAGCTGAAGATTGAAGTTATCGAAATTTTGATTTTCGAATGAATTATAATAGAAATTTATTGATTTTGAATACATAATGTGATTTTATAGAATGTTGAATCCAATTAAATTGCACAGATAAAACTAAAGTTATCGAACTTCGATTTTGGAAAGAATTGAAATTCATAGTTAGATTTTTCCGGTTTAAGATTATACTAGAAATTTCTTTTGAGCTAGTAATTTATAGCAGTATTCCTTGTTGTTTTCTGGTTTGGCTGGCTTTTGAATACACAAGGTGATTGTGAAAAATGTGGAGACAAACATACAAAGAACAGCTCAGGCCATTGTTCTGGATCCTCCGAACAACTGTGACTTCGCTGCAAAGATTGAACAATCCTTGTCCGAGTTTTCTCACGCAATGCTTGTTTTGCCTTGTTGTGCATTTCCTGAAAATGATCGAATGTCGTTGAAGCGGGAAGTTGCCTATATATCACCGCTATTAGCATTTAACCTTGACTTGCACACATTGTGCTTCAAATCACTCGTTCATAGAGGGGAAGAGATTCTGGCATCTTATTTTGGAGAGAAAGTGGATGATGAAGTGAGTGGGAAGGACGTTGAGGCTTCTGTAGTTGGACTACAGTTGGAGCCTCAGGCTCAGTTGCCGAGATATACTTCACATTTGAGAGCTGCTTTCGTGAAGATACCGTAATGTGGAACACTTTACTCTATTAAAGGCAATTCATTCGTTGAATACAAAGACCGTCAAGAACTGATAGATTTGGCACTACATAACTACTTTGGAGTTGATAGGTATCTAACAAAATAAAACACTGCTCGTTCTTTTTGGTTCTGGAGAATGGTTGCCGCCTCTCCCAGGACCAAAATGATTAACCTTGTCTAATGGCTCTACATCCATCTCCAAATGTCCTAGTGAGTTTACCAACCTCACAAGAACAACCCAAATTCCTAACTTAATTCAAGAGCAATATCTTAGGAGTATCTTGACCGTATTCTCGGAGTATCTGAGAAGTATCCTAAAGTCAACAATACTCCAAATGGAGTATCCAATACGTATCGGACTGTATCATGGGGGTACAGGTATCTGATACTAACCGTTGTCGGTGCAACTGCGACATAGGTTAAGATATATTTTTCATGTGCACAAGTGTGTAGTGTTATTGAGTACTGATTCACTTGCTGCAGGATGTGGTAAGAGAACAGTTGTTAGATACATTGCTCGTCGATTGGGCCTGCATGTAGTTGAATATAGCTGTCACAATCTAATGGCATCATCTGAAAAAAGGATGTCTGTTTCACTAGCTCAAACCTTGAATACCGCTCAAAGGTGAGGTAGCAAAGTGTTTAGATCTCGGAATATTTGCCAGTTACTTAGCTTTAGTACTGTCACATATACTTGACAAGGCAGGCAGTCATATCCATTCTTTTTAAATGTCTATGTTACCAGTGTTATTGTTAATTGCTGTCTCACTAAAACTTTTATGAGAAACCAGTCCATGCTATTCTTTCCTTGTTTGTCAGCACTGTATCAATGTTATTGTAGATTATTTCCTTCTTTATATTGTTGTACCCTCTTTTTTTCCCCCACTTATGCCAATTACGCTATCAGATACTCGCCAGCAATACTTATCCTCCGGCATTTTGATGTTTTCTGGAATTTGGGCTCTCAAGAAGGTTCGCCAAGTGATCAAGTTGGAATAACTTCTGAAATGGCTTCACTTATCAAGGATTTCACTGAGCCAATTTCTGATGATGGAGACATGGATTCCGAAGGAAAACATAATGGTGATATTGTAAGATGCAAATGTTGTAGTTCCACTTATCTTGGTTTAGGGATACTTATAGAAACCTAGTAATATTGATTACACGAATGATCAGTAGTTGAAGAATGAACATGTAGTACTCTTTACATATTTATTTTGTGTGCGTGTCCATTGATCGATTTTAATCTTAGTAACCTAAATCATACTGGGGCATGTGCAGGATGCAGGGAAGATAGGAAGGCGTCGGGTGCTGTTAATTGCAGCTGCTGACAGTTCCAAAGGTCTACCACCAACTATTAGAAGCTGCTTTAGCCATGAAATAAGTATGGGTCCTTTGACTGAAGAACAAGGGGTGAAAATGGTGTCACAGTCTTTGCAGAAGGCTTCTGAACTCTTTTCTAACGTATGTGAGCAAATGTGTTGTTTATGTACCTTTCGTGTGTGGTTTTGTTTATAGAAACATAACTAACCATAAGCTATTCCTGAAAACTTAAGCCACTAGGATGTGGCTGAACAAGTATTTTGTATCTTATAACTATGATTTAATCTTGGTTTTGTGGAAGTTGTTATAATATCTGCTACATAAGGATACCCCACATGGTATTCGTTTTAATTTTTTTCCTGATCATAACTGGTGACTTTGATGGATCGGATTGTTGTTTTGCAGACTGGTTCAGAGGAGTTTATAAAGGATATAGTGAAGCAGACATCTGGTTTCATGCCTAGAGATATTTGTGCCTTGATTGCTGATGCTGGTGCTAAGTTGATTTCCAGAGGCAATGTTCCGATGAACACTGTTAAGTCGGAGGAATCAGATGGATCTCTCAGATCTTATGTGGAATCTGATAGTAAGTCCTCTGAAGTTGCACCTCAGTTTCTGGGGAAAGAAAACTTGACAAAGGCATTGGAGCGTTCAAAGAAAAGGAAAGCATCAGCCCTAGGTACACCAAAGGTAATTTAGCGACAAGACTAACTTCGGTTCAGTATTTTATCCTTTCTTAGAGTTTTCTCCTTTATGTGGGAGGTAATAAAGAGCTTTACTGCTAGAATCAGCAAGCAGTGAAGTAGTAATCTCATAGAAAATTTTCGATTGATCCAGCACTTCTACGGTCTGGACGATTTGATAAACTGCTTTATGTTGGAGTAAACTCTGAAGCATCTTACAGAGAACGGTTAGTATTCTCACAATTTCGGTTTCATAATGCGTACTTCGTTTAAGAGAATAATCAAATTACGGATGTCAAATGTGTGCTGAAGCTTTTTTTTTCTTCACATTTTTTAATGCCATCTCTTCTAGGGTCCTCAAAGCACTTACCCGAAAGTTTAAGTTACATAAAGATGTACCACTTTACTCAATAGCCAAGAGATGTGCCCCGAACTTCACTGGTGCAGATATGTATGCCTTGTGTACAGACGCTTGGTTTAATGCAGCAAAGCGCAGGGTTAGTCTAGTCAAGTCAGCACCAAACACTGGATATTTAGTTCTGATAAACTAAAATTCTTGCTACATGTTAATGTGTTAGACAAATAAGGAATATGGTTGGAGTCCTTGTGTAATTGTATATAATATTATTCACTAGCCGTCCTACAGCCGTCCTACCTTGTCCTACCTACACACTAGCCATCCTACAGCCGTCAAGTCGTCCTACAGCCGTCCTACCTTGTCCTACCTACACACTAGCCGTCCTACAGCCGTCCTACCTTGTCCTACCTACACACTAGGACGGCTACCTTGTCCTACCTACACACTTGTATCATGTATATATATCCTTGTAATCTTGTAGAGAAAGATAATGAGAAAAAAAACATTCTCTTCCATTTGCATTCTCTTCCATTTTTTTCCACATTCACGTATCAATAACAAATATATTTTTTAGCCTACATACCTTTTTCTACATGGTATACAGAGCAGGTTTATAACCCTAGCACTAATTTTTTTTTCGGCAGCTTTCTCTGCCGTTCCCATGGCTGACTCTTCTTCTTCCGATGGTGTTTTTTCCCTTCATCATTCCGACCACCCGAATCTTGTCCTTGTATCCAAGAAGTTGAATGGTGATAACTACACATCCTGGGCCCGTGGCATGCAGCTTTCCTTGAGTGCCAAGAATAAACTTGGTTTCATCACTGGCGATATCCAAGAACCTTCTTCCTCCTCCGACCCTGATGCTCACGCGGCTTGGCGTCGTTGCAATGACATGATTCTCTCTTGGCTTCTGCATTCCTTGGAACCTGACCTTCAAGAATCTGTGCTTTTTTCCACCTCTGTCCAAGCTGTATGGGATGATCTTCGCGAACGCTTCTCTCAGAGTAATGCTCCACGCATCTTCCAACTCAACCGGGAACTTGCTACAATTTCTCAAGGTTCTTCTTCTATCTCCGCCTATTTTACTCGCCTGAAAGCTCTCTGGGATGAGCTTGCTTCTTATAATGATGGCTGCACGTGCTCTTGCAACGCCAAGCATGACCGTCAACAACTCATGCAATTTTTAATGGGCCTCAACGAATCCTTTGCTGCTGTTCGTGACCAGATTCTTTTAATGAATCCCCTCCCCACTGTTCGTCAGGCCTGTTCCTCGGTGTCTCAAGCTGAAAAACAACGCTCCCTGAGCGTCCTCCGCTCTGTCGATCAACCTGCTGCCATGGCTGTTCGTGGCCCGTCCCGTCCCTCCTCTGCTCGTCCTCCCCTCCACTGCACCTACTGCAATTTTGATTATCATACCCGAGACACCTGCCATAAACTTCATGGCTATCCCGTTGGCCATCCCCTCCATGGCCAACCGTGGCGACCACCGCGCCGTGCCACTGCTTCCAGTTCTTCCCGCAGCCATGCACCTTCCAGTCCTCCCCGGCATCCACGATTTTCTGCTTCTCGGCCCCATAATTTCACCCAGGCCCATCACGTGCAAGGCACCCAGGCCCCCGCCTCCTCTTCTACTCCAGCGACCCACCAAGTGCACGGGGCCCAGCCCACTTTGCATGACTTGCAACTTACCATGCCTGACCTCTCTGCCGAGCAGCACTCCCGTGTTCTAGCTACTCTACGTGACACCACCACCTCTCCTCAGGCCAATGTTGTGCTCACTACTGATTTTGCCCAAGGTTTGTTACCTGTCACCTCTCGTCATGGTCAATGGATTCTTGACAATGGTGCTACGGATCATATTACTTCTTCCGCCTCATGTTTGGTTAATCGTTCTCCTTCACATTTGCCGCCTGTTTCTTTGCCTAGTGGTGCTTCCGCTCCCATTACTTTTACCGGCATTCTTCCTTTAAATTCATCAGTTACTTTGAAGGATGTTTTATGTGTCCCTAATTTCCGAGTGGACCTTTTATCGGTTGGTAAACTTACAGATGGATTATCGTGTTCCATAACCTTCTTTCCTTCTTGGTGTGTTTTGCAGGACTTGGTTTCAAAGGCGATGATTGGTGTGGGTGAGCGACGTGGCGATCTGTATTACCTTGTGGCCCTTACCTCTTCTCTCCCCACCCATCAACCTCTCTGCAACATCATTACCATCCCCTCCTCCCTCTGGCATAGGCGTCTTGGTCACCCCTCCTCCACTCGTTTGCAAGCTTTAGCATCTAGCTCTCTTAATTGTCCTTTTGATTCTAGTCACATTTGTGATGTTTGTCCGTTGGCAAAACAAACTCGTCAACCTTTTCTTTTGAGTTCAATTTCATCAACTTTCCCTTTTGCTTTAATTCATTGTGATATTTGGGGCCCGAATCGTCAATCTTCTCTTTCTGGTGCTCATTATTTCTTAACCATTGTGGATGATTTTTCTCGTTTTACGTGGGTCTTCCTCATGAAACATAAATCCGACACTCAACAATTAATTAAGGATTTTTTTGCTTATGTCACTACCCAATTCCGCACTACCATCCAATGCATTCGTACTGACAATGGTGGTGAATTTTTATCTCTTCGTAGTTTTTTCTCTGATCATGGGGTGCTTTTACAAACTTCTTGTGTTTATACCCCCCAACAAAATGGCGTTGTTGAAAGAAAATATCGTCATCTTCTTGAAACCGCTCGCGCCCTTTGTTTTCAATCCTATCTTCCTATCAAGTTTTGGGGGGAATGTGTTATTACCGCTACTTATCTCATCAATCGTCTCCCTACCCGTCTTCTCCATCATAAATCCCCATTTGAGGTTCTCTTTTCGCAAACCCCATCTTATGACCACTTCCGCGTCTTTGGTTGTCTGGCATATGCCACCTCTGTCACTCCCACCACCAAATTTTCCCCTCGGGCTCATCGTTGCATTTTTCTCGGTTATCCTCATGGACAAAAGGCCTATACCCTTTACGATCTTGACAATCACCGCATTTTCACTAGTCGAGACGTCATCTTTCACGAAACTACTTTCCCTTATGCCGTTTCTCACCCTCCTATCCCATCCTCTTCGCCTACCCTACCCATCCCACCCCCTCTGGACTTTACATATAACCCACCCCTTCCTGCCCCGACGCCTCACCCTCCTCCACCTTCATCCCCTTCCACGCCTCCCACAGATTCCCTTGTTGCCCCATTACCCGTTCCTCCCCATGCCCCTTTACCCACGGACATCCCTACCCCCCCACTACCTACCAATCCTCCCCTTCCCCGCACCTCTTCCCGTGCCCATAAACCTCCATCCTATTTAAAAGACTACGTTTGCTCGCAGGTGATTCTGCCATCCCACCCATCTTCGACTTCGCAACCCGGTTCTACACAAGGTACGCGATATCCACTTTGTAATTTTCTCTCTTATCACCGTTACTCTCCCAGGCATTTTTCTTACATTAACTCTGTCGGACTGTAGAGCCTTCCTCCTTTGCCGAGGCTGCCACTGACCCCAATTGGCAACGTGCTATGACTGAGGAGCTTCAAGCTTTACATGCTAATGGTACTTGGACTTTAACTTCCTTGCCCCCTGGCAAAATTCCCATTGGTTGTAAGTGGGTGTACAAACTCAAGCACAATTCCGACGGCTCTATTGACCGCTACAAAGCTCGTTTGGTTGCTAAAGGCTTCACTCAGGCTGAAGGTATTGATTATCATGACACTTTTTCTCCTACTGCTAAGATGATTACGGTGCGTTGTCTTCTTGCTCTTGCTGCTAGTCAGTCTTGGTCTCTTCATCAGCTTGATGTTAATAATGCTTTCTTACATGGTGACTTACATGAAGAAATCTATATGTCTCATCTTCCTGGTCTTCGGCGACAGGGGGAGAATCTTGTGTGTCGCCTTCATAAGTCACTTTATGGTCTTAAGCAGGCTTCTCGCCAATGGTTTGCCAAATTCACTAGTGCCATCATTTCTGCCGGTTTTCAACAATCCAAAGCTGACTATTCATTGTTCACTAAAAAGTCTGGTATTTCTTTCATAGCTTTGCTCATTTATGTGGATGATATTGTGATTACAGGCAATGATGCTAGTGCCATTAATTCTCTGAAGTCTTTTCTCCGTGATCATTTTCGGATAAAAGACCTTGGTGATTTAAAATATTTTTTGGATATTGAGGTTTCTCGTTCCAAACAAGGGATTTATATTTCTCAACGCAAGTATGCATTAGAGATTCTCAAGGACTATGGTTTTTTGGGAGCACGACCCATTGCTTTTCCTATGGATGACACAAAATTATCTGATAAAGGAGAACTTCTCAAGGATCCTGAAAAGTATCGACGATTAGTAGGTCGGTTAATATATCTCACTATCACTCGGCCGGATATCACCTATTCTATGCATGTTCTAAGCCGTTTTATGCACGAGCCAAGGATATCTCATATGGATGCTGCGCTTCGTATTGTTCGTTATTTGAAGGCTACTCCAGGTCAAGGTTTATTATTTCGTTCTGACAACCAGACCAAGTTAACTGCGTTTTGTGATTCTGATTGGGCAGGTTGCCCTATCACTCGCCGTTCGACTACTGGGTATTGTGTATTCTTGGACGGTTCTTTGATTTCTTGGCGGACGAAACGATAGAAAACCGTTTCGCTCTCTTCAGCAGAGGCGGAATATAGGGCCATGGCAGGTGCTTGTTGCGAGATAGTTTGGCTTCGTTTTTTGTTGAAGGATTTGAACATTCCTTTGGATGGTCCTTCCATTTTATTTTGTGATAATCAAGCAGCGTTACATATAGCTGCCAATCCTGTTTTTCATGAACGAACTCGTCACATTGAGATGGATTGTCACTTTATACGAGATAAGATTATAGATGGCACAATAGAGACCAAGCATGTGGGTACGGCACAACAGTTGACAGACTTGTTTACCAAACCTCTTGGGAAAGAAAAGTTTTCGGGTATGTTACGCAAGTTGGGAGTTCTTGACATTCACTCTCCAACTTGAGGGGGAGTGTTAGACAAATAAGGAATATGGTTGGAGTCCTTGTGTAATTGTATATAATATTATTCACTAGCCGTCCTACAGCCGTCCTACCTTGTCCTACCTACACACTAGCCGTCCTACAGCCGTCAAGTCGTCCTACAGCCGTCCTACCTTGTCCTACCTACAGCCGTCCTACCTTGTCTTACCTACACACTAGCCGTCCTACAGCCGTCAAGTCGTCCTACAGCCGTCCTACCTTGTCCTACCTACACACTAGGACGGCTACCTTGTCCTACCTACACACTTGTATCATGTATATATATCCTTGTAATCTTGTAGAGAAAGATAATGAGAAAAAAAGCATTCTCTTCCATTTGCATTCTCTTCCATTTTTTTCCACATTCACGTATCAATAACAAATATATTTTTTAGCCTACATATCTTTTTCTACATAATGCTATCTGATGTTTGGGGTGTTAAATGGTAATTAAGAGCGCAAGTGCGTTTATGCTTTATTTCCGTTATATTTGGAATCCACCCAAAAACCAGTTAACAGACGAGTTGAGAGACCCAGGATTTCATACACTAAGATATAAAAGCTTCGAGTGCTCGATGTAGGACCTTGTGTTGTCAAAAACATTTTGGACATTTTTTATCGACACTCGATATAGGTATAAACTTTTATGACAATAAACTTAGCTAGATAAAGGAATGCTCATGTATTGATGGTATTTCATGCTCTCTTTCTGGTGCTGACATTATGTTTCGTGTAGGCTTTTGAGTTCGGATTCAGATTCTTCTTGCACAGATGACCAGTCGGACTCGGTTATTGTTGAATATGATGATTTTATCAAGGTATGGCAATTGCTCTTCACTGTGATTGAGGGAAATGTGAATAGTTCTGTGTTTTACTAAACAAAGTGCTGCTCTAAAGCTCGTTTCTGAATCATTGCCTGACCGCCTTCTCCTACTGCCTTAGGTCTCACCGGAGCTTTCTCCGTCCCTCTCCATGGCTGAGCTCAGGAAGTACGAGTTGTTGCGTGATCAGTTCGAATGAGCTCCCAAGTGAGTTCCCATCAGGTTAAAATGATTTGTGGGGAATTTAGATTTTTAATCTCTTGCTATATAATCAAATGTATATGATATCAGTGTGTACATACAGGAAATGAACCACTGCATGTACCATTAATTAAAAAAATATGTAGAAACTGGACTGAGAGATTTTTCAGTGTGCCGGAAATACGGTTTGGTAGACTAGATATCATAATACAAGTGGTTGATACTTGAAAATAAAAATTTTCAACCACTTATATTATGACACTTAATGCATTGTGCTGTATTCTCGCACATTGAAAAATTTTCACCTGGACCAAATTGGTCACCTTTAGGACTACTTTCTTCATTGGATCATGTAATTTTGTAGAGAGATTTTAGGTTCAACTCATATATGACAAGTTCGATATCTAATTATAATTGGTAAGTTTTGTGTCTTACTTAGGTCTCTGCTCCACAATATTGTTGTATTGAAGAAAAGAAAACAAAACAGGAGTCTATCCTAAATTAATCCAGACGAAGAGAAAAGGATTCGAGTATACTGGCTAGCCAACTTGGTTAACCTCAGGTCGTCTTCAAGCATAAGATATTATAAGGTCTACATAAAATGAGGTTGATTTGGACATACAAATTGAAGTAGAGAAAAAACTAGGTTGATTAAGAAGGGATTCAAGCTACTAGTACTACAGTCTAGTGATATTTTTCTTCACTTGTAAGTGAGAGGTTTTAGATTTGACTCTCGCCAAAGCGAATTTGAACCACATTATTACTAGTCCATTATAAGGCTAAGCCCACTCATTCCTTTTAATGTACATAATATCATTTGTTAAAAAAAAAATGCATTCAAACTATAAACTTCTATTCTTTTGTATTATAGCAAATGACAGGTTGCTATTATATCATGTGACCATGTTTTAATACCATATCATAACTTTTCGATGATGAGTACAAAACAGTCGTTTTTTACATTTGTAATACTAAAATGCTTTTTTTTATTTATTTATGCTGCTGTTTGGTGTTTGGATGGTCAAATTAAAGAGCACAAATCCAAGCATATTCTTTCATAATTAGCAAGGAGTATATTCCAAAAACCTTGTTCTACCAACTATACAAAGAAAGAGAAAGACATGCTTCTCATTAGCAGGAGGCTTGACAATTTCCTGCACAACCTACAAGTTAACATGTTAACGAATCGGGTTATTATCAGGTCACTCGTGAGATAACGAGTATAACACGTAAATAATACAAACATAACTTGTTTGTTAGGTCTAAAGATTAGGCATAGTAATTTCTTGCATGACTCATTAATCGACATGAAACAACACGATCTATTAATGAGTCTGGTCTTTATCTCATTACCTGTTAAAAATAATATGGATATGTACGGCTTGAAGGGCCCCTAAAAATTGTCCTGGAGCTCAAGTCTTTATTCTCACAAATATTCTGTTACTGTGACGAAAATATCTGCAAAATCACATGCCCTTACTGCTTACTGATTTCCGTTTGGATTTTCTGTTAATTAGGAGTTTTCTTTTGGCTGATATTTGTTTCGAACTGGATTATTATCATTAAACTCCACTACTTTACGTTACGTAAGATTATCCAACTCTTTACATGCAACTAGTTGCAAATGACAATTTGATACATCTTCATAAACAACATGATAGAATCATAAAAAGAATAACTTGTATGCACATCAATCAAACTACAGCTTCTTCAAAAGTATTTTTGCTTAGAAGCACTTTATTAAAATCACATTGAAATTTTTAATAAAAATGTAAGTGTTTTTTTGAATTTAGAAGCACTTCTAGCTTCTTTTTCTTCTTTTTTTTTTATTTTTTTTTTATTTTTTTATGCCAAACACGATGATGAGTTTTTGGTGATCTGAAACTGAAAGTGCAATCATCGGGTAATTGGATAAGTCGAACCAAAATTCTCTAGGAAGAAAAAGAACGCCTGCTGCTTTAGTGTGGGCCCTTCACGCCTGCTGCCCTCCTGTATTTCGTGACTTTCATTCTTCACAGTGGAGTTTTTGAATCCGAATCTTCGCTGGATTTCATTTGTGAGTATTTCGGAAATTTATGTATTATATTCGTTCATCGTATATTATGTGATCAGAAATGATTTTAAATATTTTTATTAAAAATTAAATACAAACAGTAGTTGACAAAAAAATAACCGTACGATATATGATGAACATATATGATTTATGGATCTCCAAGATTCTCATAAAAAGAATCCGAAAAGGATACTGTTGGAGAGTTTTCTACCTTGGGTTTTAGATATGAGTAATTAATTTATTATTATTATAATAATTCTCATTTTATTACTTTTAAGTATCGTGAATTCGCACTTTGTTACTTTTAATTTTTCTCGTCTCATTTTTATACCTAAATTTTAATTTTCTGACACTTTAATATTTCTGTTAAGTTTTCTGTCAAATTTTTGGTTAAGTGATAACGTGTCATAATTTGCTGTGAATGAAAAATTCTCTTGTAAATTCAAGTTATCATGTCTAGTGCTAATTCTTGGCACAAAAGAAACAAGTTTTCTATCAAAAGTCTCTCTTATATAAGGTGGTACAAGATGGGGGTATAATAATGTGCTAAGAATAGCGTTATTATTTAAATATTGTTTAATAATAATAAAATAATATTTATTGAGTGAAAGACTTTTAAAAAACAATTCTATTTACTGTGACGTTTCACGTCATTAATATAAACTCATACAAAAAACGATTTACACATAGTTTTGTTTTAATAGTTCAGGAACTTATGAAAGCGGTGAACACGTTTCATCTAAATCTTTCTCGCAGCTAGAAGTGCTTTTGCGAAAAAATGATAATTGATATATATTGTATGGGGCTTTCCCTATAGCAATGAGGTTAACTAATTAAAATAATGGCTTTTTATATATATAAAATTTAAAAACTTCACTTTAAAAGCAAGCACTATGCATAAGTATGAATTAAAAAAAAAACTTGCGTTTGTGATAACGAAATTAACAAGAAGACCATAAGATGGTATTTTGTGGATAATTTATGTAAATGCTCCCAACCCATTATGTGGGTCCTTTCATATTTGTGGCATGGTTTTATATTATATATGTAAATGCATCATGACTCTAAATTTGCTAATGGTATTGGAATTTTTTTTTCTTCTAATGTAACGATATATTTACATTAAGAAGGAGAGAGAAATATCTTTTAATGTCATTCTAACTTCATATCCCCATTGGTTTTTCTTTTTCACAATTTAATTTAATTACTTGTTGCAAGCTTATGCAAAGCCAACTTTTATGAATAATTGTAGGTGTTTTAATTTTTTAGGAACAATAGCATGTGGGGAATATCATATTAAAGGTTATCTTAAGAATAGTAGCATTTTAATTTTTTTTTTTTTAGTACATCGATATTTTTTTACACTAAGGGAATGAGAGTTCGGCTAAGCCACACAATGGGCAGCCTAATTTGGTATCGAGTTCGCCATCTACGAGATTCGAACCTAAGACCTCTCACTTTTAAGTGAAAAAGAATACTACCAGATCGGAGTACCGAATGACAATAGCATTATAATTTTTAACATTTTATGGTTGATGAGATTATAATGTGAGTTGAAAAATAGGACACTGAGATGGGATCTAGCAACTCTCTAACTTTTTTTTTGCACTAATTATATTTACAAATTACGTGTTTCTACCCTTCACTTATGTTTAGAAACTAATAATAAGTTTTAATTGCTACTTAATATTACAATCTAGTGGTATTCATCTTCCTTTGTAAATGAGAGGTCTTAGGTTTTATTTTTACTAAAAACAAATTTGAACCACATTATTGCTAGCTCGTTGTGAAACTAAACCTACTCTCTCTTCTTAGTGTATTGTATCGATTGTTCAAATATTTTTTTTTTAATTGGGTGCATATTAAAATGATTGATCGACTAGCATATCATATGATGAACAAATTTCAATCTAATGTAATATCCTCATAACTCAAATTTCCATTTTGTCCCTGAAAATTTCAATAATCTTGTAATAATTTCAACCAACGGTTATTATACAAAACCCATAAACAATATTGTAGTAACTGACAATTTGTCACACATGAGTGGCCTTAGTTATTGTTTTCAATAACTAAATTGAAATTAAAAAAAAAATAAATAAAAACTCCACACATGACAACCACATTCAGGGAGGGACATTTTTGTCCCAACACATATTTTAAGCATAAAATGGTCAACCAATTGATGTTTGTTGTTTTCACCAAACCGTGCCCCTCTCTCCTTATTTATTTATTTTTATATTTTTTGAAACACTACGGTAATTAAAAGCTTGTTTAAAATTATTTTAAAAATTATTAAAAACACTTTTAGAAACAAATGTTTAGATTTTAGGTACTCTTCAGAATTTACTTAGCATATTTATTAAAAATTGGTTCTAAAAATATTTTTTTTTTGAAGGACTTCTAGACGAGCCTTAAATAATTAATATTTTTATTTAAATTCCAATTTGTATTTTCTTATTTTGTTTCTTTTGCTTTTTTAAAATAATTTCTTTTTGTACCTCTTTTAAGTCGTTTTTTTTTTACCTTCCAACCGTTTTACAGTATGGAAAATACCTGTTGGGGATAGATATAAAAAGAACATGCTGGAGTCGCCAGGTGACAAGTGGCTCAAAGCTAGAGAGTTTTCCCCCACGCGCCTTCGAATAGTCTTGAGACACACCTTCCAAGTGTGCATATGATAAAGTTGCTGAATAACACTATGTTTGGATGAGGGAAATAAACTTGGAATTTGGATAAAAGTCAGAATTTATAAATAGACATGCATCAATTCCCTTGTTTGGATTCTTAAACATAGAAATTTAGAATTTCTGCATGGAAAAAAAAACTTGGAATTTGAGACCTCTAATTCACAAGTTTAAATTCTATGTAAATAGGTGTCATTTCCCAATTTCTATGATTGAGAGTTTAAAAATAACAAATTTGGTATTTAATTCCATTGTTCTCTTAGGGTTAACCAAACAAGAAAATTCACAAATTCTAGAAAATAAAATCCCGTCATTTCAATTTCCGTCATTTTAAAATTCCTTAGTAATCTTAAATTTCTTCATCCAAGCATAGTATAACAGAATTTTAGGACGGCGGAAAAATATTAGCAAGTCGAAATTACAGTATTGCAACATAACACGTTAGAGAGTTGAATATAATAATTTGTTTATACATAATTTTAATATATAATTTAACAACACAATATGTCTTATAGTTTAAAAAAGATCATCAAATCAATTGTTAAAATTACAATTTGTCGACATAATTTGCCAACTAGTTGTTCGTAATATTCTATTATTTAGTATTACATGCCAAATTTTCACATATAGTTTACCTAATTAATGTCCCAATTACAAGATTTTAGTTGATAAATTAATAATCTAAATTTACAAAAGAGATTCTACTATAAATGATCAGTGTTTACAGTTTGACAAAAAAAAAAAAAAAAAGTAATTTTTACGAGATTTTACTAATAAAATAATAAAAACTTATAATATGTTTTCCTTTAATTAAAAAGTGAATATACTCTTCTCGAAACGCTATCTACAAATTTATCTAATTAACAATCTTGCTGAGGTACTATTTTAGACAATATAATATTTTTTTTTAAATAACTTTGTAACGCTCTTACTCATTAACGTTAAGTTTAAGATTTCATTAACAACTCTCGTTCAAGTAATTATAAAAAGTCGATCTAAACTCCAATGTGAAAAATAATCCATATAGATAAATTTCTATAAAATATATTTTATCGACGCCTAATAAAGGTAATTTCTTCTTTTTCTCAAGGGCCAAACAAGAGGAAGCGTGCTTGCACGCGCATATGCTTGTATCTCAAACTATAAATCCTCGGGTTTTCACGACAGAGCCATTACATAAAAAACAGAAAATAGAGGGGCCAAAACGCAAATAAAAGGAAATATGTAAAATAAGTGATTAATTTTATTTTTTTCCACATGGCGCCCAAAAGTATAAAACAAATAAAATTATTTCCCAAAATAAATATATAAAATAAGTGATTTTTTTTTTTTTTTTGCTTCCGGTAGAAAGAAATAAAAATAATTATAAAAACGAAAAATCAGAAATTAAGAAACCGGCTGCTGTAAACACCAAAAACCAGAGAGAGAGAGAGAGAGAGAGAGAGAGAGAGTGCTGCTGATCAAATTTTCAGCTGAATAGAATTTACACGCAGAAAGCGTCTCTGAAAAGCATAAGATTGTTGCTGTTGGCGAAATCGAAGCTTTCAGAAACCCAATTGGGTTTGTTTAATTTTGTAAATTCGTTTTTAATTTGGGAAATTTGGAAGATTTTGAATTTTGGGATTTAGGGTTATTGATTTCTGAGGGTGGTTGTGTGATCGGTGAGAATTTGATTGATTTGGGATTTTGGGTTGTGTTGAATGGGTCGTGGTTTGATTAGTAGTTGTAGATTTTGAGAGAGAGGGAGAGATTTGTGGATGATTTCTGTGGGGAGTAGGGATGCAAGGAAGGGGGTAGAATTAGGGTTTGGTGGTCGGAGAGAGATGGAGGATACTGAGCTTGAAGAAGGCGAAGCTTGCTCTTCCCACATCAATGAATACGATCCCAACATCGATGCTCTCTCTTACATCGTAAGCGTATGCACATAAATAAACACATATGTATATATACATGTAGATTTGTATGTACATGTGTTTTTGCTGCTTATTGGTTTTGAATTGCAAGAAACTTTTCGGGTTGACTTGTATCGGTTTGCTAGATCCGAGCTAATGGAGTTTGATTGAATTTGAATTTTACTTTGGTTGTGTTAAGAAGGGCACGTAATGGAATGAGAACTTTTTATTGAATTAAATTGGTGTAGAAATCTCTTACTTGAGTTTAAGAAGTTTAAAAGGCTTTATATTTGCTTTGAGGGAGCGGAAACTGTAGTTTAGGACTTCGTTACTTAGCTCATGTTCTTGTCATGTAATTGCGTTGCTAACATATCTTATTCATCCACTTTGTAATGTGAGTATGTATCCCTCTTTGACTTATGGACGGGCATGAAAATGCTGTTTTGAGAGGTTGGACCATGTGATAATTGGTATTTGCGCTGAACTTACTGGTTATGATAACGGTTTAACGTGCCATAGAATTTCCCTTGCATACGATTCAGTTTTGGAGTCTCTGGATCCATATTGGTCTACTGTGTAGTTATGATTTATGCGGGATAGTAAAATCTGAATGTTAGAAATCAAGTTTTGTGGAATTTATCTATGTTAACTTCAAATGCAATGGGTGACCTTCAGAATCTCAAAACCCCAGTTTTGATATTTGTTTTAAGTATTTTTGTAGGGTCATGAAGTGTGATTGCTTTAGGTAATTAATATTTGGTAGCTCGACATTGTAGTATCTTAAATCTTAAAGATGCCCGAATCCTATGAAAAGTGTTATTGAAGTATAAGCCTTGTTTCTAGCTCTTACTATTACTTTACGTCTCTTTGTCGAGCTTTGCGTTTCAATGATTCATATTGCTCTCTCTGGTATTAGGATGATAGAATTCAGGATGTTTTGGGACACTTCCAGAAAGAATTTGAAGGTGAGGTATCTGCGGAGAATTTGGGTAAGTCAATAGAAGGGAATTACGTTATCTCGTGCTTGAGAGATGCATTAATTTGGAGTTCCTTCTCTTTAAGTAATGAGTTGGCAATCAATACATTGAAACAGGGGCAAAGTGGGGTGGGTATGGCTCTTTTTTAACTTCCTATCAGCGGTCTCCAGTGTGGTCTCATCCGAAGACTCCACAAAAAGTTCACAACTACAGCTTACTGAAATCTCCCAACAATTTGAAACTTGAGGTGTCAACTTTATCAGCATATAATTTCCGACTTATATCTAGTTCTGTACAGATAAATCTTTGTCTCTATTGGTTTCTTTGACAATTCTCAGTTTACTTGAGCATCTTTCATTATTTTTCCGCACAGTCTGGTCAACGTAACAATGCAGTTTGTTATAATACACCTCAGTCAGTGGGAGTAGGAACTGCTTCTACCGGTTCCACTTCGCTTGTTGTACCAAAGGCACCCTCATTAGTTCAACCTGACCAGTACGCTCCTCGGCATGAATCTGCAAACAAGAAAGCTATCAATTCATCAGACCAGAAAACATTGAAGGTGCGAATTAAAGTTGGATCAGATAACTTGTCGACACGAAAAAATGCTATCTACAGTGGGCTTGGCCTTGATACCACACCGTCTTCCTCACTAGATGATAGCCCTTCAGAGAGTGAAGGGATATCTCATGAGCCTCGAGATGCCCCATTTGAATCTCCCACCAGTATTCTTCAGGTGAATCATCTCCCTTTAATATTCAGATGTTTTCTGCTTTAGAAATAGTGTGCTTAAACTGAAACATTTATTTTGGCACCGCTCTGGAGCAGATTATGACATCCCTTCCGGTGCTTGAGGATGTGATGTCACCTCTTCATGACGACCTCATTTACTTAATTGCAAAGGAAAAGCTCCTAAAAGAGGGTACAGCGAATGGAACTCATACCATGCAGGGTGGTGGGAAAGTATCAAGAGCGAGGAAAACAAAATCAGTCGAAAGAAATGATTTATCAGTAGAATCAAAAAGTGGGAGAAATAAGGATGGAACTGGGCTTCTGTCAACGAAGGAACACGACATTGACATGTTTGCTTGTGAGGAGTTTGTTTCTAAAACCTTGAAGCTCCCGCTTCTATCTAATTCATTTTCTACTGTCAATGACATGATCAAGAGCAATGAAATTGATAAGAAAAGTTTAGTGAGGGACAAGGTCTTCCCTGCAGAAGACGAACCAATGGAGCGAATGTCCAACCAAGAGGATGGCTGGGTTGAAAAGCGAAAAGCCAATTTGGCTGGAAAGGTTCAGGAAGATAGAAAAGTAAATTTAAGCGATGATGTTTTGGCTCATCCAAAGAAAGAGGGCTGTTGCAGAGGAGAGAAAACTTATGAATTGGTAAAAGGTGACTTAAATGTTTCCAAGGGGAGGAAAGCTTTAAATACTGAAATCATGGACCATTCAAAGCAGAAAGTCAATCAGAAGGCTGGATTGCATGAGGTGGATGATACAAGACTATATTCTGGGAAGGAGTATCCGCTACCCGGGGAAAAAAAGAAACCGAAGGAAAGTCAGAGGACACCAGTTGCTGAGATGCCAAAAGAAAGCTCAAGGGTTTGTTCTTCTTCAGTGCCCAAGATGAAGAGCACGCATGCGAACAGTTCTAATACTGATCAAAGTAGGGATACATATAGAGATCTGTTTGGGGATATAGATGAAAATAACCAAATAAATTTATTTGAACTTCCCTTTGAAGAGAAGCTTAAGGACACTGATGCTGTTGCAAAAAGCACCCCTGCAGTTAACAGTACATCAAGGGAGAGACAAAATGGCAATAAATTTGATAAACCATCATCAATGGCAGACTCACATCCTATGACGGCTTCAAATATACTCCCACGTTCTGGAAATGGGCCCATGTCTGCTGGGCCTCCTGCTACAGGGGCTCCTGCACTGATAGAAGATAGTTGGGTGTGTTGTGACAAGTGTCAGAAATGGCGGCTTCTTCCATATGGTACAAACCCGGAGAGCCTACCTGAAAAGTGGCTGTGTAGCATGCTTAATTGGCTGTAAGTTCCTTTCTAGTGGCATTTTCTAACCTATCACTACGTTCATTACATTACATGGTATATTACTATATCCACAAAACCTGATATGCCATTTTATAATGTGTAATGACTGTTCATTCCAATCTCTGCCTCTCTGTTCTCTCTCTCTCTCTCTGAAGCTTGATCTCTTGATTCAAATTTAGGCCTGGGATGAATCGGTGTAATGTAAACGAGGAGGAAACAACAGAAAAGACGAAAGCTTTAATTGCACAGTACCAAGTTTCTGCTCCTGAGAGTCAAAGTAATCTGCCCAGAAATCCTGGTTTAATGGAAGGAGTGGCATTGCCTAAGCCTCCGAACCCTGACCAAAACCTTGAAAATTTTGGTTTGCCTGGCATGCCTAGTAGTGGAAAGAAAAAAAATGGAGCAAAAGAATTGCCAAATGCAACTAATAAAGATGGTTCCATTCAGTTTCCAAACTCCATGAAGAAAACTATGCAGGCATCAGTGAAGAGTAGAAGCTTGAATGATGTGAATCAGTCTCCACTGCCAAGTGAACCTGATTTGCAGCAGCTAAGCAAGTCCAGTGACATGGCAGTGGAGAAACGGAAGCACAAGTACAGGGAGAAGCATAGAGATTTAGAGCCCTCTACTGGGGGAGGTATGGCATATGAAGCAGTGTTTTTTCTTTGTGCTTTTAAAGCCATCCTTAATTATGTTGAATGCTATTTACTTACTAATAAAGCATGTCAAACAGGTGACATCAAGAATTTAAAGATAAAGAGCAGAAGAGACTCCGTTCCAGATTCTTCTCGAGCTTCCAAGAAAATCAAGACTGAAGTTAAACATATTAATGATGAAGGATGGACATCAGACTACAATTGGGCAGTTGGGGAGGTAGGTCCTAGCTCAAGTGGTGCTGCAGCAGGGAAAGATCAAATTAAGAATAGGTCACATGCTGCTTCTATTACAAAAACAAAGGATGAAGCTTTCTTAAAAAGTCGATCCTTAGATGTGGGAAACTGTGATTCTAAAGGTAGATCAAAAAAGAGAAAAGTGAAGGAATCCTCCGACATGGGTTCCCTTCCAGCTACAGGGTGTTATGTTGAGGATCATTCAGTTACTGTGAAGGAGGAGTTTAGTGAGAATGACCGCAGGAAAGAAAAGAAGGCAAGGACTTCTAAATCTGACGGAAAAGAGTCTAGTGCAAGCAAGGGAAGTGGTAGAACAGACAAAAAGAGCAGCCATACAAAGAACCAACAACATAGAAAAGATATAGGTAGCAGTTTAACTCTCCGGAGTAGGAATGGTATGGATTCCTTGAAAAAAGATTTGGGATTTGTACAGGTTCCTATGGCTGCAACTTCAAGCTCCTCCAAAATCTCTGGTTCCCAGAAAACCAAATCCAGTTTTCAGGAAGTTAAAGGTTCACCTGTAGAATCCGTCTCATCTTCACCTATGAGAATCTTGAATCCCGATAAGCTTACATCAGTACGCAGGGACCTCATTGGAAAGGATGAGTCACAAAATGCTGGTCATTTTGCCATAGCTAGCCCAAGAAGATGCTCAGATGGCGAAGATGATGGTGGGAGTGATCGATCTGCAACAGCGAGGAAGGACAAAGTTTCCACAGTGGCTTATCATGGGTCTCATGAGTCTTCTGTGCTTGATTTCCAGGACAGAGATTCTAATCACATATCTGGTGGTAAAGGTAGAGGGCAGGTCGCCCCATCGCCCGATATCACGAATGGTCTTTCTATGAATGGTGCTTTGGGTAATTCAGGTCAAGATACTGGGTGTCCTAAACAACTGGCTTCTAATCAATTTGGTGGTGAATACAGAGAGAATGGAAAGCATTATCACTCTAATGGATCTCACCCAAGAAAGTCAGGGAAGGGATACTCTTCTTCATGGTTAAAGGACAAGAACGGGAGCTTTGAATCTGATTTGGACATTGGTGAGGCCAAGAATTCTAAAGTTCTCAGTGAACAGAAAGATCATTCACCCTCCCATGGAATAAAACCCTGGGATGGTAAAAACAAGTGTGGGTCTAAATCTGGTCAAACTGAGAACAAATATGTCAGCAAGAAAGATGTTACTGGGAAATCTTCCATTGAGAGCAGTAAAAGGGAAGGTCAGTCAAATTTCGGGGGGCATGATGGCCCAGATGTTAAGCCAGAAATCATTTGCAAAAAAGATGCAATTTCTACTCCCAAGCAGAATTCGCTGCAAGATTGTGATGGTGAAAGGTTATCAAAGATTCCTTCCGGAAAAACTGAACGAGTGGATGCAGGCTCAATTAGGGGGAAGTCACTACCCTTGCCAACTTCTGGTGGAGCTCAAAATGAGACCACAACCCGTTGTCCCCGACCAGCTGTGGGTTCTCAAAAAGGTAATGGAGCAGATAGCTCACAAGTTGATGCCTCTGAAGGTAATGATGCTCTGAAGCAAATACAAACCAGAAAGGTTGATAATCAGAATGGAACTCAGCATATCAGTTCAAGGCATCTTTTACAGAATGGGCACAGGGCCAGGGATATTGATGCCCCTAGTCCAGTTAGAAGGGACTCCGGCAGCCAGGCTGTTACAAGTGCTCTGAAAGAAGCTAAAGATCTAAAACATCTTGCTGATCGCGTCAAGGTTTTAACCTATCATATTTTCATGATTAGATATTTCTGTTCTTCTTTCTGCGATAATTATGTGTAATACTAATCCTTGCAGAACGCCGGGTCAACTTCCGAAAGTACGGGGTTTTACTTCCAAGCGGCTGTCAAATTTCTTCATGCTGCATCTTTGTTGGAGAATATTGATAGTGCCAAGCATAATGACATGACTCAGTGCATGCAAATGTATAGTAGCACCGCAAAACTTTGCAAGTAAGTCAAGTTTGAGCTGTATTAATACTTCTATTCTCATGGCACATGCACTGGTTTTGGGTGAGTTGTGTTGACTTTTGCAACCTTGCTGTGAGTCCTTGTCTACCCTTCGCGGAACCCTGCATGTGTGAGTTGGGACCCATAATATGGTTGTACGCAATTTTAGGTAGTACTTTCAACTATATTTTTATGGTTTTTACCCTAATGTATTTGGACTTGCATCTAAAGCCTTTTTGGATTGGGTTGGGAGGGGTCACAGAGACAGTGTACTTTTGCATAGCATTAGCTCTTAAGATGTAGGGAGCGATCTTCTCATGATTGATTTTGTCATCTTTGGTCATTAGAATAGTTATTGGCATGTACTGTAGTAGCACGTGGAGGAGCCATCCCATTTTTTTAAGCGTTCTTTGCGGGCTTTATATTTATGGGTTCTGGAGCTTTCATGCCTGTTCTGCTTTTCCTTATTAATTTAAATTATCTGTAGGTTTTGTGCTCATGAATATGAGAAAGCCAAGGATATGGCTGCTGCTGCTTTGGCCTACAAATGCATGGAGGTGGCCTATATGAGGGCGGTATACTGCTCGCATGCCAGTGCAAGCAGAGATCGTCTTGAGTTGCAAACAGCTTTACATTGGTTCCTCCTGGTAAATTGACCAGTGTCTAAGTGAGCTGTTACTTGGTTCTAGAGGAGATGCAAGGCTCTTAATAGCCTTGTTTTGAATTGTTGCTAATTTGATATCCTTGCTGCTTTTCTATCAGGTGAATCTCCTTCTTCCTCTGCCTCTGATGTTGATAACCTAAACAACCCCTCAACGGTTGACAAGGTTGCCTTACCCAAGGGTGTTAGCTCTCCCCAAGTTGCTGGAAACCATGTTATTGCTGCCCGAAGCCGTCCCAATTTCCTCCGGATACTCAATTTTGTAAGTTTATATAGATCCTATATTGAAACTTCAATTTGTTACTCTTGTACTGTTGCACAAATTTTCATCACAATTAATTTATTTTAGATATTTAGTACGTATAACGTGGTCAGAGAAGGGCATGAACAAGAATGGACTATCAATTTATTTAAGAATGGGTAATCTCCTTTCACAATAGAGAAGTGTGGACAACGAATGAACATTTTGTAAATATGATTACTTGCAGACTCAGGATGTAAATTTTGCAATGGAAGCGTCGAGGAAATCGCGGCTTGCATTTGCAGCTGCTAATACAAACACTGGAGATGCTAAGCGTTCAGAAGGTATTTCTGCCATTAAACGGGCTCTTGACTTTCACTTCCAAGACGTAGAGGGATTGCTACATTTGGTACGGCTCGCAATGGATGCTATCAGCCGGTAAAAGAGGCAAGTAGTTGTGGGATGATTCAACCCTAGGAAGGTTTATCTATTGGTGAATCCTTGGTCTCATGCCTTAAGAAGGGAGTAAAAAGAGGCTGTCCTTGATACTTCTGCTGAACTGCTTGGAACTTCTGTTGAGGAACTGGTTGTTTCTCTTCTTGTTTCAAGTAGACGACTCCTAGTCATTTTATTTTGTGGTCCTGAATCTGCTTGCAAGTGCTGTCGGAGACCAAACAGGTCATTCAGATCTCAATTTATTTATTTTGAGGTATTGTGAACCCATCGTCAAGTACAGCTCCGCTGAAAAGGTTCTGAGCAGCTTCTGAAGGTGGATTTACTTCATCAAGAATGGGAGGAGATATATAATAGTTGTATATAAGGACAAGAAAACGAGTTCTAAAATCAATAGGGGATTTGTTTTGGCTCTCAAAACCAGAACTTACAGCTTTGGAATCCCTTATTGTTCAGACTGTTAACTTATCTTGATAATCCGTTATCTTGAACTGTCTGGAGAAGACTCTGGCAGCTGCCAGTATGTTCGCAAACTGTCTGATCTGATTCAACAGGTTGAGACCACATCAATACTGTAGAAAAGGGTGAAAACGATGGAAACCGTAGGTATGCTGTTTTTCTAATAGATTCTCTCTTATTTTCCCCATCAAACCTTTTTTTCTTTTCAGTTACCATTTTAATTGTTTGCACTTTTTTGTCTGAATTTGATTTTGATACATGTGCAGGTTGTCTTCACTTTTGTTGTAGTTAGGATATCCTCTTTGCGTTAGTAGACACGAAATCAGAAAAAGAAAAAAAAAATACATTATCAGCGAATTATTGTCACGGTCATGCATGTTAGCTCCAACCTGCTGTGCCTGCCTGAGTTTCTTTCCTCAAAGGTTTGTTAGCTGTTATTGTTGTGAAAGTTTGATGATTCATTCTACGTTCATTCGTCTCCAACCGGCTTTCTGTTTTCACTTTCTCCTTCCAGTGGCGACAATGTATATATACAAATTATTGAAGCATCTGCACGTGTTTCCGTCTGTAAAGAGAAGGGGATCGGTTGGATATTATTAGGTCGGTCCTTGAGATCTAACAGGTAAGGTTCTAATGCTTTTGTAATGTTAAATCTGTTCTCCAGACTTCAGATAATTATGATTACTTTTGCATGCATGAGAGTGAGAGGAGACGATTTTGAACCCAATTATTCTAGGGTAGTGATCTTCACATTCCCGTTTTCTCCTTTTGCATTTGTTTCCGTCTCTTCTCTTGATTCTCCTTGGATTTAATTCAGTCGAAGGACTAGAAAAAGCAATATCAACTCTAATAAGAATGCAATGACTGATCACTACCCTTAGTCCAAATCTTGAATTTATAGGAGCATATAATGTTTCGCTAAGCGGACGGGGTCTCTGCTTGCAGGTTGAGCAGCGGGCGGGGGCGGTTCTCTATCTAGTAGACAACTGAGTTCGATGTGATATTCTTGTTTCGAGTTTTGCCGGATGTGGGTAGTGTATAGTTTCTGAATATCTAGTCACTAAACGATTGTTTAGGTTTACACAATAACGTTTAGAATTATTTCAATCGTTGATTGCCCGTAGCGACAGCGATAGTAATTTATCCGGGTTTTGTCAATAAAGCTTTGAGTTTGACATTCATGGCAGAAGCTGGAAGTGGATACCTGTGTTACAACCGTTTTCAAATATTCAACTATTGAATGCTGCTCAAAATGTCGCTGGGAGCAGCAAGCCTTTGAGATTGGCATAATTTCTCACTTTGGTCTCGGAGATTTAAAATCAATAGAAGTGGTTCACGAGTTTGTTCGTCGTCAATCATTTTTGTCCATTATTTATAACAGATTTGAATTTTAACAGTTTTCTAAAAAGACCACGTTTGTTACCAATTTGACCTTGAACGCCGCCACGCCACGCCCGCCATTTCAAGAATTTTCCAGCTTGGATCTGATTCGAGCCATCGGGTTCTTTTGGAGGCTTTGCGTCGATGGGACTTCCAAATATCGCAGCTTTGATTGCACGGTGAGCCGTTAGCAATGCTCCGGGGATGGATGAGCATTTGAAGGGTGTTAGGGTTTATGTTGTGTAGAGAGAGATTATATAAAAATTTCAAGTAATCTGTACTTTTTTGTTTTTTCATAAATTAAAATTTAAAAAAAAAAATAATCTTAAGAGAGGAATTTAGATAGAGAGTTGTGTTGCAAATAGTTCTCTACCATAATGGTGGAAATGAGTGTAGTCATTGCATCGTTGCGTGGGTTTGAATCTATTCGGTTTCCTAATCTAACAAATCTATCTTTTAACCAAAAAAAAAAAAAAAAAAAAAAAAAAAAAAACGAGAGAGAGCTTTGTTTAAATAGAAAAACTCTAACGAAACCAAAAAGTAGTGTGTAAATCATTTTTTTGTGAAAATGGCAATTGTTGAGTTTTTAGGAAGATTGACATACGCCATTTGGAAAAAATCTTACAATTTTATATTGTTTAATAAGTATTATTATTATTATTATTATTTTAGTTCTAACCTCAAAAGTAGAAAATTAAGAAAAATTCTAGCGGGAACAAAAACTAGCTAAAATGTCAATAAAATCGTGAGTCATAGTTCACAATTTTTGTGACCAACAAACCTCACCCTTAAATTACCTGTCCCTTGGTCACCTGGTGACCAACGAATGCTTTTAATGTCTCAAACTCAACCGTTAATATTAAAGAATAAATACACAAATTTTAATATCGAATCAAGCGATAAGTTGTCATTTATTCTTAGTCACTAGGTAACCAAAAGAACAGAACTTACGAAGCATAAACTGAAGACTTTTTAGCCGTAAGAGTCCCCTGAGATTGGCTAATCTCATTTTGGTCCCTGACAATAAAAATTGATAAAAGTGATCACCATGTCCACCGTAAATCATTTGGATCATTTCGTGAAAAATCTATCAATATCCTCATTACATTGTCACGTGAACGTTTAAAGGTATTTTGTCAAGCCAAACCCTCCACTTCCTGAGAATGTTAACTTTTTCACGAAATGACGAAAATAAATTTAAAGTGAACAAGCTCATAAGACCGCTTGTTTTAATTTTCACTATTAAATCTTAATAATATTTGCCATTAATAAATAGTAGTAATAATGGTAGGGATATGGGTCAATTGCACAAAAATGGCGTTAATACCGGATTGCACAAAAATCTTCCACTCCTTCCAAAATCCTAGCATTTCTAAAAGAGCTGCACACAATTTACAGCAGATCTCTTGGCTCTCAGGTCCGAAGAAGAAGAAGAAGAAGAAACTATGGTTCGAGCTTTCTGATCAGGGTTTTCGACTAGTCCCTAGTATATACCCACGCAACCGAATCAGGCAAGATACTTGAACATGTTGGGGTTTTCCTTGTCCCTCTCCAGGTAGTCCCGAGTGATGAGATCTTCAATCCGCTTCTTAATCGCTTTGATGTCCGGCTGCGCATTTCAAGTCCGCCCATAACCGTTGTCAGTACAGATTCAACGGGAACAGAGAAACGCAGAATATATATAGATATGGATACAAGAACACGAACGTAAATTGAAAATTGCATTCAATGACAAACATAATGTAGTACCTTGAACATTTTTCCCAGCTGCTCAACGCACTCCACGACTAATTGTTGATGACCCAAAACTTTTCGACTCTTCATGATCCTAACAATAGCAGCATCAATAGCATATCTCCGGTCTTTGTCAACATCTTCAATCACCTTCTTCCTTTCGTCCACGGGTGGGAGAGGAATCTAAGGATAACAAAACAGCACACGTTAATTAATCTTCAACTCTCAGAACAAGAATGAGGTGGAAAAAAGTATAGGGATCTCAGACCTTAATTCTTCTCATTTTATCTGTGAACTTCTCGTTGAATTCAAAGCAGTCATTCGTTGAGATGGTCTTTGTAATTGGCTGCTTGGTGAGAATCTTGTACTTGGCACACGAGAGCGAATGAAGCAATCTAACCAAGTCTTCATGAGTAAGGTTCAACTGAGTCAGTATTTCTGAATAGCTCAATTTATCAGCACTGTTGAAGAGGAGCAACAGAGCAGCCTGTGAAAAGAAAAAAAAGGCAACAAAATATAGTCCCCGTACTCGAATACAATCTTGAAAAGGTGACATTCTGCCAACGGCCAAAATAAATTAAGCAAAGTAGTGCAATAACCTGATAGGTTGACACGACCAATTCAATGGGTCTGGTGTCAAACTTGCCACTAACATTGCACGTGCCCAATGAGTAAATCCATGTAAGTTTCCGGTGTTTTGTTTTTGTTTCATAGAATGACTTGAAAACTTCAACACACTTAACCTGGAACACAAATATACAACAAACATATGGGCATCAGGTATTCCTGCAATTGGGAACATGTGTATTTCCAAGCACAATCTATATATTTGCAGTGCTAATCTTCAACAAACTAAATATTACCATCTCTTCAGGAAGGTTAAGATCAAACGATTTATAACTTGGCCAGTACCCAGTTGTAAGTACAGTGACTGTCAAGTCCATCCCAGGATTTACAGCAGGGTTACTTTGAAGATATTCCTCAAACCCTTTCTGGTTGTCTCGAGCTATTGTCAAATCTGTGACCTGAAAGATAATTTAGGAAATTTAATTTAGGTCAATAGATAAGTTCATATTTCAGCATAGGTCAATAGAAACAATTTTCTACTTCAACTATGATCAATAAAAATAATTTTCCGATCCAACTTATGTCAATCCTAGTATTAAAAATACCCTGTGATCTCAAGGACAAATATCTCTGGAAACGGAGGAAGATAATGAGAGTACTTGCAGGATGTGCATCAGATGGCTAGATAACTGGAGTATATCATGTTTTCTTATGTTGCACGTAATTGTAATGAAGTGACCTGGTAACCAGTAGCTTACTTTGTAGACACTGGAAAGGCTTGTTCCCCAATTGGGTTTTTAACTCTCTTGCTCGAGATATAAACATTTCCATACGAAATTAACCATAGTTTGACAGAAAAAAAAAAAAAAAAAAAAAAAAGGGGGGGGAACTATCTCTATTAATGGTGGAGTAACAGTCAGAAACATTCCCAGTGAAGAAAACAGGCCCACTCACCATTCCCTCCATTTTTGACGTAAACTGTCCACCACATTGCTGCTTCAGCTTTGTCAGAATACTTCTTTCGTGGTCCTCGTTGGCACTCCGATCAAAAAGTAACCGACGGGCTAGTTTTTTCCTGTGTATTGAAAACAATTACTTATTGTCTACTGAGCCGACACGCAGACACATATATGTTGAAGTACAAAGACACTGTTCGCTCTTCATGATCATTTACCATGTTGTCCGCTGACCCACTGGCTAAAAGAACTCGTATCACTTATATGACCCAAGACTTTGTACTACTAACCATTGGGTTTTCACATAGTAACTGGTAAATGCCTTGTTAAAACACTAACTGGAAAGTATCTGACAAGAACTTAAATTGTAAGACACACAAAACCACATATGGTATAAACTGAGAGGAAAAATAATAGATTTACCTGTAGAATTCTGCATAAAGGTCTTTGTCACTGATATAAGCAAGCAGCTTAACAACCTGAAGAAAGTTAAAAGACAATCTTAAAATTAATCAAAAGACCAAATGAGTTCAATAAGAATTACCAAACACATCACCAACAATAAATGAAAATTCATAATATGGAAAACCCTCCATAAAATAATACCTTCTCAAGCGTTTCTTCTATGGCCTCATCACTCAATTTATCACTGCCACCCTTCTTGAGGATATTATCACAGAATCCAGCA